AATTTTATTTATCTTAATATTGCTGCGATTGTGTTGATTTCCAAACACTGTCTTTTGTTGGCGATTTTACGACTTTATCTAAAGTTAATATAAAAAATAACATATATATTTCAACGTGATGTGAATTTTAGTAGAAATTAGTGAGGAGGTAGAATTTAGTTTCGGTTGTCAACAAAATTAAAATGTATATAAAAGCACATTAACATACTATAAATAATTTTAAATAAATATATACATATGTATTAATAAACATAATAAAAAAAAACTATATGTTTGTTTTTTTAATTATGTATATATGTATATTTACATACATATATACCAGCAGAAGGTGTCAATAGAACGCGCGCCACTCTCTGTGTGGTGGTTCCATATTGCCAGCTTCTTCAGTTAGTATTATATAGTATATATGTTCCCTATTTATTCCAATCAGTTGTATGTTTTCTCAACAACCTTGAGCTTGAAAATTAACAAAAACAAACATGTACGCATTATTGAATATTATGTATAGATGTTTATGTTTAGTACTTACGATCAATAGATCGATTGATGGCTTTTACTAAATGTTAATTTGAATCATAGCTTTTACGTTTTTGTTTACATTTGTTTTGTTCTTTTTGTTTTCTTGCCATAATCTCTGGAAAACATGTATTGCATGCTGATCAGCAAGAATTACGTATGATTAATGATCATCAACAAAAAAAAAAAAAAAGAAAAAAATGTACTATATGGTATATATTGTTAGATCAGTCAGAGACCAAAGACCATGTTAAAACAATTAATTGAACGGAACATTTATTTTTTTTTCTTTTTTTGTTGTGTTTTTCCTTAGAGCACTTGCTGCTATTGACGTATTTAATGTTGTGTTTGTGTGTGAATTCTGCGATCACTAGAATGCTTGTTTGTATGTATGGCGTGCCATATCTATGTATTTTGCTCTTGTAAAATGAAGTGCCTAGGTGCCTGCCAGAAATTTTTGTGTGTCCATCTATCCATCCAATAGGTTCTAGTTAGTGTATTGGCGATATAATTTTTTTTATTCGCACTGGCGTTATTTGTTCTTACGAATATCACTTGTATTTGTTGTTGTCCAATTTGAAAGTGTGCGCGTGTGTGTGTGTCTGCTGAGGGTAGTGGTAGTGAGTGTTGATTTAGAACTCTTGTTATCTGTTAACGTCGCCCATTCTATATAATTCGACTGACTGTTTTTTGTTTTGTTTGTGATTTGAGTGTGATTCGCATTAGTAGTTCTAGGTGACAGACAGACAGACAACGCGATCTGTGTTTCAATATAAAAAAATCCAACGATCGAGCAGCATTTCAGTTTTAAAAGCAACAAGTAAAACACCTAGAGAGTGTAGTCGTCCGCTTGTATATCTTCTCTTAAGACTAACTAACAATCAAAGTTTATAAAATACAAAAAAGGACTAATAAATAAATTTAATTTTTCTTTTTTTTTGTATCCCGTTAACTCAATAACAACAAACATTATCATCAACCTCGTTGCCTATGATTGATTGTTTGTTAATTATCTTTAAATAACTGATGATAAATAGTGAATAAACGTGTAGTATCATCACTGTTGTTGCTGCCTTTGTGGTCAAATTTGGTTTTAGCACAAAGAACTACCTCATCTTTAGTACAAGGATCTCTTTTTAAAGAAAATACTTTAAATCCTGTTACTGCTTTATTATTGCATAAAAATCTAAGCACAATGCCTGAGAAACGTGTTGCACCTGTTATCAACAGCTTTGAGGATTTCGAATTGAAATTGCCCGGGTAAGTTTAAGTTTAGCAATTATTCTTTGTAATTAATTCATTATGTGATTCATTACATACATTATTACGTTGTTGCAAAAAAAAAGAAAATGATCATGACAGTGATAATATTATAAACTAAAACTGATAACAAGTCTTAGTTAACTAATACTTAAGTAAATATTTACATTCATTGATTGTTGTAAAAAAGTTTTTATTATTATTTTTTTAATTTTTTTTGCTAAATTTTAACAACACTTTATCAACACGTGGATTTTTATCTATTTGCGCTTTTATTTTGTTAAATTTTCTATAAAATCTTTATAGTTTTTATAACCTAAATATGAAATTGAAATTTAGGTCATTTTTCTTTACGGAATGGCCATTTTGTATTTTGTACTTTCTGAGAAAAATTTCACTTTGTCATGCAGAAAATTTATTGGATATACATATATATATTAAAATAAATAAATTATTGTTGTTTTTATCATATAAATATTAGACATTTTGGCAAAAAAAAAATTCTGCCTTATCACCATGTAGCAGCGATCAGTGTTGAGTGATTTTGAAAACAATTAATTTGGGTCAGTTTTCCAAATGAAAACATTTTGTATTGAGGACAATATAAAATTTATAAATTTTCTTTTCAAACTTAAAAATACTGTAAAATTCTTAAAATTTTTAAAATTTGTTTTCAAATTTTATATTTTCGTCATAAGAAATTGTTAAAAATTGATGGCATACAAAACCAAAACTATACTTTTATGGATCCTCTTTAAAATGTTTTCCAACATATCAAAAATTTTCTTAAAAAGCTTATTTTCAGCAGCTTAATTGAAAATACTTTAAAATTTATAAAAAAAATTTAAAATGTTTAAGTTCGAAATTAGACTATATTTATAAAAAATTGTTCTCAAATAAAATTGAAATTATTTTAGTTAGAACCCTTATGATTTATACATCATTTTAACAGTTTTAAAATATTTTCGAACTTAATTTCGAATTTTCGAATATAACTTCGAATTTTCGAACATTGCTTAAAAATCTTATATTCTAAAACTACATTGAAAATACTTGAAAATTTATAAAAATTTTGAAAATATTTTCAAAATTTCAAAATTTTTAAGTTCGAAATTAAAAAAAAAAATATATTAAAAATACTTCTTAAATAAAACCAAAATTATATTTATATTAATCTCCATACTTGAAAGATCATTTTAACAGCTTTAAAATTTTTTCGAACATAACTTCGAATTTTCGAACATTGCTTAAAAAGCTAATTTTCTAAGGCTAAATTGAAAATTTGTTAAAATTCAAGAAATTTAACAAAATTTTTAAGTTCGTAATGAGAAACTATAAGAAATTATTCTCTAAAAAAACTTAAATTTTAATTTTATAAATTCTGTTGATACCGAAAGTATTTTAAAAATTTTCAAATTTTAGGAAAAAATTTCTAAGATTATTTTAAATTTAACTTATTAATTTAATAAAAAAACAACTAAACTAGTTTAAGTTAGTTCAATGATCTGTTTAAACAAAATTTTCTCTTTTCAAGGCCATCTGTTTGCTAAAATGCCGGGCCCCCTTTATATAAAGCATTAGAATTAAAAACATTCTCTACCTCTAAAAACTATGTAGAGTCTCGTGTTTGGCAAATGAAAAATATCTATACGATTTTATATAAAAATATAGAAAAAAATCAGACGGTCTTTTTATATATAAAAACCTATAATTTATCACAAAAGTTTGACATTAAAAACAATTTTTTAAGAAAACTTCATATATTTTTAATTTATTTCTCTTTGTTTTTGCAAACATGAAATATAAGGCCCCTTAAAAGTACTTTTTTAAAAAAAGTACCTTTACCGCTAACTTAAAAATAGATTCATATGTTATATTTTCTATGGAAATTAAAAAACTCAAATATACCTGATATATTTTTTATTGAATGTTTTTTTTTTTATAAAAACATTCTATTTATAAAACTATATGCATCTAACTATAATACAATCAGTGTGGAATTTTTTTTTTTTTTTTTGATACACCTGTGGGAAACTTAAAACAGTTTTCTTTTTGCAATTTTTAACTTGATAGATAAACAATTTGTTTGTGAGTGGGTTTTATCTTTGTTTACATAGAAACACTACATCCCTGACCTTCTGAATAACATGACTCTCTTTAATGTTTTTGTAATCAAGAGAGTCAATTACATTCTTATCAAAATTATACTCACTTTTGCAATTCTTCAAAAGTTTCAATCAGTAGTGTACTAAGCTATAGAGTATAGACTAGACTATAGACTAGAGTATAATAGACTAGACTATGACTAGACTATAGACTAGACTATAGACTAGACTATAGACTAGACTATAGACTAGACTTGACTATACTATAGACTACACTATAGACAGACTATAGACTAACTATAGACTAGAGTATAGACTAGACTATAGACTACACTATGACTACACTATAGACTAACTAGAGACTAACTAGAGACTAGACTATAGACTAGACTATAGCTAGACTATAGACTAGACTATAGACTAGACTATAGACTAGACTATAGACTAGACTATATCTAGACTATAGACTAAGACTATAGACTATACTATAGACTAGACTATAGAATAGACTATAGACTACACTATAGACTACACTATAGCTACACTATAGACCTACACTATAGACTAGACTATAGACTAGACTATAGACTACCAATAGACTAACCTATACGACTAGACTATAGACAATACTATAGACGACTATAGACTAGACTATAGACTAGACTATAGACTAGACTATAGACTAGACTATAGGCTAGACTATAGACTAGACTATAGACTAGACTATAGACTAGACTATAGACTAGACTATAGACTAGACTATAGACTAGACTATAGACTAGACTATAGGCTAGACTATAGACTAGACTATAGACTAGACTATAGACTAGACTATAGACTAGACTATAGACTAGACTATAGACTAGACTATAGACTAGACTATAGACTAGACTATAGACTAGACTATAGACTAGACTATAGACTAGACTATAGACTAGACTATAGACTAGACTATAGACTAGACTATAGACTAGACTATAGACTAGACTATAGACTAGACTATAGACTAGACTATAGACTAGACTATAGACTAGACTATAGACTAGACTATAGACTAGACTATAGACTAGACTATAGACTAGACTATAGACTAGACTATAAACTAGACTATAGACTAGACTATAGACTAGACTATAGACTGGACTATAGACTAGACTATAGACTCCACAATAGACTACACTATAGACTAGACTATAGACTAGACTATAGACTAGACTATAGGCTAGACTATAGACTAGACTATAGACTAGACTATAGACTAGACTATAGACTAGACTATAGACTAGACTATAGACTAGACTATAGACTAGACTATAGACTAGACTATAGACTAGACTATAGACTAGACTATAGACTAGACTATAGACTAGACTATAGACTAGACTATAGACTAGACTATAGACTAGACTATAGACTAGACTATAGACTAGACTATAGACCAGACTATATACTAGACTATAGACTAGACTATAGACTAGACTATAGACTAGACTATAGACTAGACTATAGACTAGACTATAGACTAGACTATAGACTAGACTATAGACTAGACTATAGACTAGACTATAGACTAGACTATAGACTAGACTATAAACTAGACTATAGACTAGACTATAGACTAGACTATAGACTAGACTATAGACTGGACTATAGACTAGACTATAGACTAGACTATAGACTGGACTATAGACTAGACTATAGACTAGACTATAGACTAGACTATAGACTAGACTATAGACTAGACTATAGACTAGACTATAGACTAGACTATAGACTAGACTATAGACTAGACTATAGACTAGACTATAGACTAGACTATAGACTAGACTATAGACTAGACTATAGACTAGACTATAGACTAGACTATAGACTAGACTATAGACTAGACTATAGACTAGACTATAGACTAGACTATAGACTAGACTATAGACTAGACTATAGACTAGACTATAGACTAGACTATAGACTAGACTATAGACTAGACTATAGACTAGACTATAGACTAGACTATAGACTAGACTATAGACTAGACTATAGACTAGACTATAGACTAGACTATAGACTAGACTATAGACTAGACTATAGACTAGACTATAGACTACACTATAGACTACACTATAGACTACACTATAGACTATAGACTAGACTATAGACTAGACTATAGCTAGACTATAGACTAGACTATAGACTAGACTATAGACTAGACTATAGACTAGACTATAGACTAGACTATAGACTAGACTATAGACTAGACTATAGACTAGACTATAGACTAGACTATAGACTAGACTATAGACTAGACTATAGACTAGACTATAGACTAGACTATAGACTATAACTATAGACTACTATAGACTAGACTATAGACTAGACTATAGACTAGACTATAGACTAGACTATAGACTAGACTATAGACTAGACTATAGACTAGACTATAGACTAGACTATAGACTAGACTATAGACTAGACTATAGACTAGACTAATAGACTAGACTATAGACTAGACTATAGACTAGACATAGACTAGACTATAGACTAGACTATAGACTAGACTATGACTAGACTATAGACTAGACTATAGACTAGACTATAGATCTAGACTATAGACTAGACTATAGACTAGACTATAGACTAGACTATAGACTAGACTATAGACTAGACTATAGACTAGACTATAGACTAGACTATAGACTAGACTATAGACTAGACTATAGACTAGACTATAGACTAGACTATAGACTAGACTATAGACTAGACTATAGACTAGACTAGACTAGACTATAGACTAGACTATAGACTAGACTATAGACTAGACTATAGACTAGACTATAGACTAGACTATAGACTAGATAGACTAGACTATAGACTAGACTAGAACTATAGACTAGACTATAGACTAGACTATAGACTAGACTATAGACTAGACTATAGACTAGACTATAGACTAGACTATAGACTAGACTATAGACTAGACTATAGACTAGACTATAGACTAGACTATAGACTATACTATAGACTAGACTATAGACTAGACTATAGACTAGACTATAGACTAGACTATAGACTAGACTATAGACTAGACTATAGACTAGACTATAGACTAGACTATAGACTAGACTATAGACTAGACTATAGACTAGACTATAGACTAGACTATAGACTAGACTATAGACTAGACTATAGACTAGACTATAGACTATAGACTGACTATAGACTAGACTATAGACTAGACTATAGACTAGACTATAGACTAGACTATAGACTAGACTATAGACTAGACTATAGACTAGACTATAGACTAGACTATAGACTAGACTATAGACTAGACTATAGACTAGACTATAGACTAGACTATAGACTAGACTATAGACTAGACTATAGACTAGACTATAGACTAGACTATAGACTAGACTATAGACTAGACTATAGACTAGACTATAGACTAGACTATAGACTAGACTATAGACTAGACTATAGACTAGACTATAGACTAGACTATAGACTAGACTATAGACTAGACTATAGACTAGACTATAGACTAGACTATAGACTAGACTATAGACTAGACTATAGACTAGACTATAGACTAGACTATAGACTAGACTATAGACTAGACTATAGACTAGACTATAGACTAGACTATAGACTAGACTATAGACTAGACTATAGACTAGACTTTAGATTTGCCTATAGATTCGACTATAGACTAGACTATAAACTAGACTATGGACTAGACTATACTATAGACTAGACTGTAGACTAGACTAAACTATAGACTATAGGACTAGACTATAGACTAGACTAGACTAGACTAGGCAAGGCAAGGCTAGACAAAACAAGACAAGACTAGACTAGACTAGACTAGACTAGACTAGACTAGACTAGACTAGACTAGACTAGACTAGACTATAGATTAGACTATACTAGAATAAACTTTAAAAAGCCTTTAGTGGAAGACAACATTTGTGATTAAAAGATGCAAAAACCAAGATTATAGATATGTATATCACCGCTTCCAAACAGAATCATTCATCATCCATTTCATCAAAATCATTAAGAAAACCCCAAAAATTAACCAAAAAATATAAACAATTCCTATCATTCTCTACAGTTTCTTAAATAAAAACAAACCCCTGGCCCTGCTCTTCGATTACGATGGAACCTTGGCTCCCATTGCTGATAATCCCAATAAAACTGTTATGCCTGTCGCCACCGAAGTTATCCTGAATAAAATCGCTAAACATCCAAATATTTTCCTGGCCGTCATATCCGGCAGAGGCATTAAGGACGTACAAAGTAGAGTGGGTATTAATGGTATTATGTATGCCGGTAATCATGGTATTGAAATCGAAAGTGCCGATGGCAGTAGACACGATTATAAATTACCCAGTGAAATTCAAGAGAACTATGGCAAACTTGTTAAGGAATTGAGAGCAAATGTTGAGAAAAACAATGCTTGGGTAGAGGATAAGAGAGTTTCGCTTACCTATCATTATCGTGATACTCCTCTGGATATTAAGGAAGCCCAAAAACAAGTGGCCATTAAAATTATTGAATCCTATGGTTTTAGAGCCAATCAGGCACATGAGGCCATTGAAGCTAAACCACCAGTAAACTGGAATAAGGGTGAGGCTGCCATGTTTATCTTAAAGCATACTTTTGGGGATAACTGGGCTGATGAAATTAAAGTGATATTTGCTGGTGATGATACCACCGATGAAGATGCCATGAAGGTAATTATTAATTTCAAAATTTTTTGATAAAGTTAAATATTAACATGTTTTTGTTTGCTTTTTGCTTTACAGAAACTTCAAGGTTTGGGCAAATCATTCAGAGTTTCTACAGATCCTGAAATTCAAACTTTTGCCGATTTCCGCCTTTCCAGTCAAGATTTGGTTAGTGATCTTTTGAAATGGATTTCTAACACCTATGGAGTCTAATTTATTTAATAATTTTATTATGATTATTATTATTATTTTTTTATCTTATTGTTTAAATATTGTTATTATTACTGTTATTTAAATATTTTATATAAAATATTACACACAAACACACACACACCTACATTTATACCTATAATATTTTTTAATTTCTAGCTTTTAAGTGTAAACATTTAAATAATTATTTTATGCTTTTCCTTCTTTTTTTTTTTTTTTGTTTCAAATATGTATATCAAATACTATATCATATCCTTTTGCTCTAATGGTACAAGATTTTTTTAGTAAAATTATGGAAAATTTCATTATTAACTGTTCCTTTTTTTAATGGAAATAAATAATATATGATTTCAAAACTCAATACTTTAGAGTTTTATAATAAAAGATGTAATTATTTTACAATTCTGTTTGAATTTAATTGTTTAAATAGCTTTGTTATCATTTGTCAGAAATCAGTGTTAAATATTAACATCTGAATTTATAATAGAGAAGAAGCGGGGAAATAAATTTAATTTTTTATTTCTATTCCAGAATACTAAGGAAATTTTTGATGTTTGAAATTTTTTATTATCATTTGTTTTTTTTTTATTATTATGGTCGGCAAATGGGATAATAAAAAAATATATAATTTTAATTTTAGAAATGGGAAAGTTTCAAATTGCTTGCAATACTTATTAAAAGTTCTGGTATAAATAGCAAAGCATTGTATTTCCTAGACGGTATAGTTTGCAAATAATTCAGTTACTGAACCATTAGAGACAGATTTTTATACTTTTCACCTTCGTACGAAGGGTATAAGTTGCTTTACGTAAGTGAACACCTGCCGGGTAGGCCCCCTTTCATGGTGGTGCTTTTACCACCACTTGTGCTTTTTACACGTAGCACAGTGGGAGAAATGGTCAATCTGGTGGATATTTATTTCTATCTTTATAAATAGTGATCTGATCTATTAGAAATGTTCAGTGAAATTATAGCCAAGGACATGGTCTTTAAAAAAAAATTTTTTTGGGACATGCCACTTTCGTACAGGGTGCGACATAAAGTGTTGTATCGGTCACCCTCGGTTGTTCATATATTTAATAGTAGTAATATGTTTATAATTTTTGTATTTCATTCGATTTGAACACTTTTTGAAAACGATATCATGTTTTAGACATTTTAAGTTATATTTATTGATATTTGGACTTATACCCTACAGTCAGTATGCACCGAAACTATTACTATTTTTTATTTTATTTTTGTATTTTAATATTTAAAACGTGGTTTATTTTTTATTTTTATAGCATTTACGTTAAATTCTACGTTAATTCCTAAATATTAAGGCAATTTAATGGTGTACAATTTATTTTTTGAAAGAGGCCATATATGGGGACTAGGGTCAAACATAGGCCAATCTTCATTAAATTTGGTGGGGGTATTTATGTTTATATTAAAGTTATTTTTGCTAAATATAATCGATACACTAGTATTTATATGGGAATTATGGATATTTAAGTCATTTTATGAAGGGACTTTGTATGGGGGGTGGGGTCAAATGTGGTCCGATCATTATGGAAACGGACAATGTTATTTAGGCTTATATATAATTTATTTGTAACGACTTTTGTAGAGATACTAGCGTCTTTAAAAAAATTATGAGCTAAAAACCATATTCTAGATGTCCGTTTGTATGGGGGCTAGGTAAAATAATGGGCCGATTTGAACAATTCTCAATAGACTTCATCCTTCAGCAGAATAGTGTCATGTATGGCTGTTAAAAGTTTTTTTGTTGGTACTGGTTCACTGTACCAAATGAAAAAAGTGTGCGTTTTTTCATTTGGAACACTCATTAAAAAACGTGATAAGTCAAAAAGTTGCAGCTAATTTTCTTACTTGACATAGAAAACAGACCAAAAAAACTAATAAACTAAACGATAGAGCGAATCTTGTCGAATCCACCCAACTTTTATTCAACAGAAGATTATGTTACACATAATAAAACACTCTCCTACAATGGTCATTTTGTGTACCACAATTCAGAACTAACCCGTACAAGCAGAGGCCACAAACCAATTTTTTCCCTTAATAGATTCCCAATAATTTCAATTAAACCACTAATCCAAATAAAAAAATCTAAACTTAAGATTTTATGTGTAATCAAACTTAAACTGTAAAAAAGTGAAAAAATAATGAATTCAATTGCTAAAAAATATGCAAAGTTTGAAAGCTCACTAATGTGTGAATATTGCGAGTAAAATGAAATAAAAAAAATCAAAAATCACTTGGTTTCTTAGTTACCAGAAAATTAAAAAAAAAATTTCAGAATTCTCAAATTTAAAATTTCCTTAAAGCGACACCAGATTGGCCATTTCGTAGGTGGCAAATTCTGTATATGATTCTGCCGGTCCAAGCACTTTGCTCAAGTACTCGAACTATCTAATATCTTGACCATTACTGACCCGTTACAAAATTTCGTTTACAACCATGCAGAAGGGATGACCTCTTTCGGCAACGGCACCTAGAGACTTAATCGATAGACCGAAATAGGAATCCATCAAATCAAAGACAAGATCTTACTAACATAGAACACACTGAGCTAAGTCTTCTATGAACAGAGTAAACCCTGAACATAATCTGACAAATTCGACAATTCAATGAAATCACACTGGAATCAGCACACTTCTCACTTATCCGACACATTTATAGAGAAAAACATACGATAGGCTCACTCTCTAGGTATATGGGTGGGTGAGGACCGCATTCCCCATACATCTGTAAAACTACTACTCTGCCAGGTATCTGTTGTCTTGGCAACAGCATTAAACTTATCTCGAAATATAGACTTAACCATGCATCAGACTTATTATTAGCATTCGCTTCCATCGAGTTTGGTTTTAAACCACAGACACCACATGCACTCCAAAGAGACATCTCCAATGACCGGGAAAAGATAGAATCCGAAATTGTGCCCTATGGGCTACCAGTTCTTATGGTAACTGGCTCGACCTCTTTTCAAGGAAAGGCCGTGGATACATTTGACACCAGCAGTTTATAGTTCAGGCAGATTAGATGGGGGAAGATCATTAAGTTAACATGCCCCAGGGGGAACTTAAGAAGGGTACAAGTATGTCGAAGTGGTTTACGTGAGTACCTGGCGTGTAGCCCTATCTCACGGTGGTGGTACTTTTTCAACCATTGGGTGAGTAAAAAGTAAACAACTCACCACTGCCCCTTTGTGTATCTTACACGCAGGTTGCAATTTTTGTACATGGATGGTCCGGTCCATGTACAAGCATTTTGTTCAAGTACTCGAGCTATCTAATCTCTTGCCATAGTAGTAACGTTGGGGAAAAACAGGTGTCATGAGCAAGCTCAATCTACCACGACATAATGTCGCCCAACCACACTACTATGGCTCTGTTGATTCGGCAACAGCACCTAGGGGACATACATAATTGGTAGTCCGAAATACGGATCATATTAATACACAAGACTTTATTTCAGTGGCCACAAAGACCCACTGTGATAAGTTGAGCATGCACTCAACCATGTTGGAAAATCGCCAATAAATTAATGAAATAGCAGTACCGACCTTGCACCATCCTCCTCCTTTTGCTAGACCATAGTCTAACACATCGTTACACCATCACATCCAGCATCTGGGAGCGATGACAGAAATGTATCTTGAAAATTTATATTTCACCGTGTATCAGTCTTTTAACCAAGCACCCCCTTCCTGCGATTTAGGTTTCAACCACAGCCACTATGTGGATCCCGAAGGAACCTCAACCACCTGACCAGCCAGGACAAGTCCTGTGGGCAACTGGCCACCCGTAGTACCAGATTATGTGGTGCTCTGGTTAGACCTCTTTCCAATTTATGCAATGACTAGGCCAGGCAGTAAATTGTCAGCAACAATTTATAGTCCCGGAAGACTACAGGTATTTGTAGCACCTATCTACCCCCGGATTGCAATACACCAAGATGCGTTGCGGAAACAAATAGTTTCTTCATGAGTCCATACCACGTTATACTATTGAGTAGAAACAAATATTTCAGCAACTAATCACATTATCGTCAACACCGTTTCGTTAACTATCGAAGAATGCAGCAACCTTCACATCGCGACCATTTAAATAGTCAAATGTTCTCATTAGTTGCGGGAGATTGCTGCGCCCTTCTCGCACAATTTTCTTTCAAATAACCAAAAACTTGTTTGATTTATGAAGTTAGTCCTAATTATAGATTTTAGGTAACAAAGTTTTAAATTGTCACTCATCCGAAAAAATTTATTTAAATTTGTTTCTTGGATCAAATGCTTCAAAAGTTTTGGAACACATAAATCAAAAGTTTATTCTTCTAGTCTAGTCTATAGTCTAACTATAGACTAGACTATAGACTAGACTAGACTAGACTAGACTAGACTATAGACTAGACTATAGACTAGACTATAGACTAGACTATAGACTAGACTATAGACTAGACTATAGACTAGACTATAGACTAGACTATAGACTAGACTATAGACTAGACTATAGACTAGACTATAGACTAGACTATAGACTAGACTATAGACTAGACTATAGACTAGACTATAGACTAGACTATAGACTAGACTATAGACTAGACTATAGACTAGACTATAGACTAGACTATAGACTAGACTATAGACTAGACTATAGACTAGACTATAGACTAGACTATAGACTAGACTATAGACTAGACTATAGACTAGACTATAGACTAGACTATAGACTAGACTATAGACTAGACTATAGACTAGACTATAGACTAGACTATAGACTAGACTATAGACTAGACTATAGACTAGACTATAGACTAGACTATAGACTAGACTATAGACTAGACTATAGACTAGACTATAGACTAGACTATAGACTAGACTATAGACTAGACTATAGACTAGACTATAGACTAGACTATAGACTAGACTATAGACTAGACTATAGACTAGACTATAGACTAGACTATAGACTAGACTATAGACTAGACTATAGACTAGACTATAGACTAGACTATAGACTAGACTATAGACTAGACTATAGACTAGACTATAGACTAGACTATAGACTAGACTATAGACTAGACTATAGACTAGACTATAGACTAGACTATAGACTAGACTATAGACTAGACTATAGACTAGACTATAGACTAGACTATAGACTAGACTATAGACTAGACTATAGACTAGACTATAGACTAGACTATAGACTAGACTATAGACTAGACTATAGACTAGACTGTAGACTAGACTATACATTCGACTGGAACGTACTATAAACTGGTCTATTGACTACTATGTGGACTATTTATCAAAAGATTAAAGGTTAGAAAAAGGTCCGAAAATGTCGTGGGGGTATAGTGCCTGATTGAACCTATTAACATAAATTAAACCATTTTCTTGTACTTTTTCATTTCCGAACTGGTACTTTTTAAGTTGTCAATAATATTAATATTAAACACGAAATTGAAACACCTGCTGCGCAGGTAGGTGGTAAATATACTCGCTCCCACTAAAAATTTTCTAATTTTAACCACCTCTCTGCAACAAAATATTCTTTTAATTTATCATTTACTGTAATGTGTAGGAAAAAATAAGAAGAACTCAAATCAAAATTTTTCCAAAATAATATGTTAAAAGAAAAATAAAAGATTTTCTAGTGGAAAAACAAATACAATAATATACCAATACTAACCCGCTACTACCTCTATACATATACAAACGTACAGATCTATCTATATGTACAACTAACATATAGCAAGAACAATCTTTTTTTACTCCTCATAGGTAGGGAAAATGAATGTATAGCGTAGGAAAACTTTGAATTGGTGTGTGTCCAAACATACTTAAATTTAGAAAAATAAAATGCGCACAGAGAGTTTTCTTTCATTGAAAAGATCTCACTATACCAAAGAAAAGAGAGAGTATTTAACGCCAACGCCAAGACATTTTTACAAAAAACTAAGAGGCTGTTGAGGATATTTTTTAAAAATCTAGCGACAGTATTAAAACAGTTGTCAAGTTATAGAAAGGTAACCATCTATTATTGTTAAAATACAAAAGTGACACAATGGCTGAACAAAAAAAGGCTCCTTTGCTTAAGAAAGAAGAAGATTTCGTCAAAGCTCTCGATGGGTAAGTGTTAATTAAATGGAACATATTTTCGGTTTTTATGCTAATGCTATGTAATATAAAGTTTCATCAAGCCTGAAGATCAAGTAGCTCTTTTGTTGGATTATGATGGTACCTTGGCTCCCTTGACCGAAGAATTGTCGGTTATGCCCAAGGATACTGAAATCAATATCAAGAAATTGGCTGCCAATGAAAAAATCTTCATGTGTGTTTTCTCCGGTCGTGAATTGAACGAAATCAAGAATCACTTGAAATTCCCCAATGTTACCTATGCCGGTAACCATGGTCTCGAAGTTGAATACCCTTCAGGCAAGAAATTCAAGATTGAAATGCCCGAAGAATTGTTGGAAAAACACAACAAATTGGTAGCTGAATTAAAGGAAAAGGTAAGCAGTCCTATGGAAACATACATCCCTGAAGTAGTTCATTAAATAATGTTTTGTATTTGTTATCCAAAAGGTGGTCTGCTCCGGTGCCTGGGTTGAAGACAAGAAAATCTCCGTTACATACCACTACAAGGGTGTTAATGACAAATTGAAGGGTAAATTGATCGAAACCGCCAAGGGCTTGATCCAAAGCCACGGCTTCCAATTGATCGAAACCCCCTATGCTTTGGAGGGCAAGCCACGTGTCAACTGGGATAAGGGTAAGTCATTTAAAAGTCACTAAACAATAGCAACAAAGCAACATTTTCAACAATAATTTTAGTTAATTAACAGTTTGAAATTCAAAAGAAATTATTTATTGCAATATGTGTTCGAAAAAAAGAAAACGTCTTGAAACTATAATTTATGTAGTGGGGTCGAAGAAAAAAATCTTTTTTTTTTTTTAAATTTGATAGACATATTTTTTAGTTATTTGCTATTTTTTTCAAATAATTTTTGTTTGTGCTAAAGCAAAAAAAAAAAAAATAATGTTGAAAATGAATAATGTTTTTTTTGGTCGTTTTCGTGCGTTGGCGTTTTGTTCAAAAGATGAGCCAAAAGCCAAAAAGAAAAGAATATTTATTTGTAGGAAAATGAAAACAATAATATAAATTAAAACTCAAAATAACGACAATCTGTCTTGTGGACTAGAGTCTGCTGCCCAAATGCTGTCATTAGAAACAAAATATAATTTTTTGAAAAATTGAAAATTGCATTTACATTTTAATAGATTTGAAATTAAATACAATATTTGAAAGCAAACTGAATATATATGATTCATGTTTTCGTGAGAGATAATATTGTACTCGTGTACGTACAAATTTGAACAAATTTATCTTAATAGTTTCATACACACATATGTACATATTGGGTCAATGGCTTCAGACGATTTAAAACAAGTACATATACATACTTCTATTAGACTAACACATGCATGATAATTGCATATGTACATTTTAATAAAGAATTATTAGAAAATAATTATTATGTCGAAAGGTGGTTAATTAATTTGACAAATTAGTGTCTTAATGTTTATATTTATAATGCTGCATCCAACATCAGACGCCCACTTAATGCAGGTGCGTGATATTTTTAAATTTAGATATTTTGAAATGAGTGAAAAAAACTTCTGCATAAATAATGATTTACGATATAGTTTTTTTCACTTCTATTAATTACAAAAATGTTAAATTTTTTTTTACCAAATTCCGGGATTTCTGCATTTTTTAAATATTTTTTTAATACTCTCTTTCTTGTTTTTATCTAAATTTGCTAGGACCATATTATGAGGCATTGAATATTCCATACTTTAGAAGTTTTTCAGTACTTTTCATAGACTACATAGTAGTTCATAGACCAGTCTGCAGTCTGGTCTATATTCTAGTCAATGGTCTGGTCTATAGCCTTCTCTATAGTTTTTTCTCTAGGGTCTAGTCTATGGTCTTGTATATAGTGTAGTCTTTGTTCTAGTCTATATATAGTTAATGGTCTATAGTCCATAGTCTTGCCTATAGTCTAATCTATAGCCTAGTCTATAGTCTAGTCGATAGTATAGTCCTATAGTCTAGTTTACAGTCTAGTCTATAGTCTAGTCTATAGTCCTAGTCTATAGTCTAGTCCTATATAGTCTAGTCGTATAGTTCTATAGTCTAGTCTATAGTCCTAGGTCTATAGTCTAGTCTATAGTCTAGTCTATAGTCTAGTCTATAGTCTAGCTTATAGTCTAGTCTCTAGTCTAGTCATAGTCTAGCTTATAGTCCAAGTCTAGATGTCTAGTCTTAAAGTCCTAGTCTATAGTCCTAGTCTATAGTCAGTCTATAGTCTAGTCTATAGTCTAGTCTATAGTCTAGTCTATAGTCTAGTCTATAGTCTAGTCTATAGTCTAGTCTATAGTCTAGTCTATAGTCTAGTCTATAGTCTAGTCTATAGTCTAGTCTATAGTCTAGTCTATAGTCTAGTCTATAGTCTAGTCTATAGTCTAGTCTATAGTCTAGTCTATAGTCTAGTCTATATCTAGTCTATAGTCTAGTCTATAGTCTAGTCTATAGTCTAGTCTATAGTCTAGTCTATAGTCTAGTCTATAGTCTAGTCTATAGTCTAGTCTATAGTCTAGTCTATAGTCTAGTCTATAGTCTAGTCTATAGTCTAGTCTATAGTCTAGTCTATATCTAGTCTATAGTCTAGTCTATAGTCTAGTCTATAGTCTAGTCTATAGTCGTCTATAGTCTAGTCTATAGTCTAGTCTATAGTCTAGTCTATAGTCTAGTCTATAGTCTAGTCTATAGTCTAGTCTATAGTCTAGTCTATAGTCTAGTCTATAGTCTAGTCTATAGTCTAGTCTATAGTCTAGTCTATAGTCTAGTCTATAGTCTAGTCTAGTCTATAGTCTAGTCTATAGTCTAGTCTATAGTCTAGTCTATAGTCTAGTCTAGTCTATAGTCTAGTCTATAGTCTAGTCTATAGTCTAGTCTATAGTCTAGTCTATAGTCTAGTCTATAGTCTAGTCTATAGTCTAGTCTATAGTCTATTCTATAGTCTAGTCTATAGTCTAGTCTATAGTCTAGTCTATAGTCTAGTCTATAGTCTAGTCTATAGTCTAGTCTATAGTCTAGTCTATAGTCTAGTCTATAGTCTAGTCTATAGTCTAGTCTATAGTCTAGTCTATAGTCTAGTCTATAGTCTAGTCTATAGTCTAGTCTATAGTCTAGTCTATAGTCTAGTCTATAGTCTAGTCTATAGTCTAGTCTATAGTCTAGTCTATAGTCTAGTCTATAGTCTAGTCTATAGTCTAGTCTATAGTCTAGTCTATAGTCTAGTCTATAGTCTAGTCTATAGTCTAGTCTATAGTCTAGTCTATAGTCTAGTCTAGTCTAGTCTATAGTCTAGTCTATAGTCTAGTCTATAGTCTAGTCTAGTCTAGTCTATAGTCTAGTCTATAGTCTAGTCTATAGTCTAGTCTATAGTCTAGTCTATAGTCTAGTCTATAGTCTAGTCTATAGTCTAGTCTATAGTCTAGTCTATAGTCTAGTCTATAGTCTAGTCTACAGTCTAGTCTACAGTCTAGTCTATAGTCTAGTCTATGGTCTTGTCTATAGTCTAGTCTATAGTCTTGTCTATAGTCTAGTCTATAGTCTAGTCTATAGTCTAACCTATATCCTATAGTGTAACCTATAGTCTAGTCTATAGTTTATTCTTTAGTCTATTTATAGTCTATAGCTTAGTCTATAGTCTAATATACAAATATTATGGTCTATAATCTAGTAGAAATTCTTGTCTATAGTCTTGTCTAATTATATATATATTTTTTTTTTAATTTATTTTCACATTATACTCTTAACTGTCTTCTTCTTTTTAAATAAAGTATTCATTGTTTTGATAACAAATTGTAATATTTTCTATTGAAGTGTATGGCAACACTACAAAGTTTAGTTTACAGCCTGAAAAAAGTTATATTTTAAGTTCATAACTGACTCTCGACTTCATATATATAAAACATACATATGTACATTATTTCATTCAAAACTTCCCAAGTTCTATTATAACTTTAATACTGATAGCCAGCCTACTATACTATTAAACAATATTAAACAATTTCAACTTTTTTTACTTGGAAACAAAACTGCCACCCTGTATAATAATATTTTGTTCATATACAATAATTGGTATTTTATTTAATTTTTTTTGTTAAATGTAGTATGTGCATTTGAAAATTTATTTCGTTTCGTATACAATCAACAAACAATTTATGCATTTTTTTGTTTCTAGACTTTTCAGACGGCACCAATATTTTTTTATTCTAATATATTTGAAAAAGAAAAGCCAAATGAAAAACAAAAAGTCTAATCATATTGTACACATTATTATGTTGTTGTTGTTTTCATTTTTGGAATTTATTATATACTCACTATACATACTTATTTATGTATATATTTTTAAACTAATAGATACAAAAGATATGTATGTATAAAAAAACATACACATACATATCTATCTGTTCATATCGTTGTTTGAAATTATAAAGAAAAACGAAAAAAAAAAACATAAGTACAAAATATTAAAAATAATTTTTCATTTGATTTATGGTGATGCTATTTTGAAACCCCACTACAGTAAATAGCTAAATAAAAGATATATAGAATAATTTGGAATTATGGAATTTGTATTTTTCCATAAAATTTTGAAGAAAAAATTTTCTATATTTCAGCTAACGCTATGCTATATACATACCTGATTTATAGCAATAATAAAGTCATTAATATAAAATTTAATAAAATAAATTGAAAGTGTTGAAAAACATTACGGTTTAAATATTCAATTGAAATTAATGTAAACCCCAAATTTGCATATGTGAACAACATAATATTTTTTGGGGAAGGAAATACAATTTGTTTTAGTTGTTAGGTGACCTAATAAACAATAATTTGTTTAATAAAAATAACACTTTAATAAAAATAACCTAATATTGAGATGACACATATATTCTGTGTAAATTAGTTTATCTCTGCCTGATTTACATATGACAAACGTAACCACCAAAATCAAAAATGGGGCAAAATCTAAATTTAAATTTTCAAAAATGCATCTCTCCCACAGTAAGATCCCTTTCACAAATATTCAAATTTGTTTTTAGTGATGGTGGATTTACAGTTTGTATACAACCTACATATTAAATATGTTTACTAATTCTGTAAACTAATTTAGAAAAATAAATAAATAATCATGAGAGCAAGAGGTATTTGAATATTTGGCGGTAAAAATGACGACATTTTCTTGAGATTAGCGAAAAGGAAATTTTATCTTAATGAAAACAAATGAAATTAATTGATTATTTTTTAACATGTGTTTTAAAAATAGTACTATTCTAAAATCTAGAACAGATTTCTTTATAGAAAATCCATTGTGCTAAAAGTAACATAATAACCAAAGGCCCATTGCTACGTCTCTTATATGGTTTTATGAACACATAAAAAAACCTAATGAAATAAAATTTGATTATTTTTAAACCAGTTAGAGCGGGTTTTTGAGATGGTAATCAAATGCCAATTAATAATCAGATTAGTTAATCTAAAAATAAATTTAATCTTATGTTAATCCCTTTTGATGTTTTTTAGTACAAGAATAAACTTCGCAGTGTTGCCATACAAAACAGAAAACGTCACTGTTTGTTATCAAAACAATGCATATTTTATAAAAAGAAGAAGAAATTTAATATGAAAATTAATGAAAACTTAAATTAAAAACAAAAAAATGTATTTTGAAGTGTCCATAATTTATACTAATCAATAAAAAGAACATTTTAATGTTTATATTTATAAAAATTTTATTAATTTTTTTACAATTGTCTTCTTCTTTTTTATAAAATATGCATTGTTTTGATAACAAACAGTGGAGTTTTCTGTTGTTTTGTATGGCAACACTGCGAAGTTTAATCTTGTACTCAAAAACATCAAAGGGGATTAACATTATATTAAATTTATTTTTAGATTAACTAATCTGATTATTAATTGGCATTTGATTACCATCTCAAAAACCCGCTCTTAGTTAACTAGTTTAAGATTTGCATTATTGCCATGCAAAACAAAAGTAAATGTCAATATTTGCTATCAAAACAATGAATGTTTTATAAGAAAGAAGAAGACAGCTAGCTGTAAGTGCAATATGAAAGCGAATTTAAAGTAAACTTTATCGGTTTTTCTCATTATAAGAATTTTTACATAAAAAATGTTATGAAAAACATGATCTATATCAAATTTGACCTAATTATCTTAATAAAAATCAAATAAAGAAACAATCTTGACTAAAATCGGAGATAACAACGACATCTGTTGGTCATAAACAAAACTTCCTTACATCAAATAGAATATCTGAACTTTTGTTTAAGTCGTTGCAATCGAGATTGGTTTATTTCTTTTATTTCTTCATATTCATGTTTATAAAACATTCTTTGTTTTTTTTTTTTGCAAATAGTTATATGGCAATACTGTATAGTGGCAATACATAAATGGCAATACTGTATAGTTCAAACTAGTACTCATAAACAGTAAAGTGAATTAATTTAAATTAACTAACTCAATTATTAACTGGTGTTTAAACTTTTACTTGAAGAATGGCTCTTAAAATGCAACAAAATTTAACACTAAACAACAGCAAACATAATTAATTGATTCGTTTTTAAAACTTCACTCGATAAATATGACTCGTGAAGTTAATTCTTTAATAAAAATCACAGTTCTTGCAAAATTTGTTAGCTGAGTCATGACTCCTGTTTATATTTTATCTTTGTTTATTGGAAAAAATCTCTCAGCGTGATAACTGCTTACTTCCGTCTCTTTTTTCAAGTTTTTCACAAAACTGTATACATCGACTCCTAAAACTATGCTCGAAACAAAACCGGAAATCAAATACATATTTTTAAAAGTATTAATTCACAATCGATGTTTTTTATATCAGTTACAATTAGTGTTGCCATATTAATTTTTGCAAATTTTCTTATTTAGGAATTTAGACATGAAATGAATGCAATGAAATATCTATCTATCTATCTATCTATCTATCTATCTATCTATCTATCTATCTATCTATCTATCTATCTATCTATCTATCTATCTACCTATCTATCTATCTCTCCATCCATCCATCCATCCATCCATCCATCTACCTATCTATCTATCTATCTATCTATCTATCTATCTATCTATCTATCTATCTATCTATCTATCTATCTATCTATCTATCTATCTATCTATCTATCTATCTATCTATCTATCTATCTATCTATCTATCTATCTATCTATCTATCTATCTATCTATCTATCTATCCATCTATCTATCTATCTATCTATCTATCTATCTATCTATCCATCTATCTATCTATCTATCTATCTATCTATCTTATCTATCTATCTATCTATCTATCTATTTAATTTTTGGTAAATTTAACTTGTTTTATTAAAAAAAATATTTTTACTTTATCTCATTTCAGGTGAGGGCGCCAAAATGATCTTGGAAAAACAATTCAATGCCGATTGGGCCAAGAACTTGAAGATCATCTACTGCGGTGACGATACCACCGATGAAGATGCCATGAAAATGCTATTCGGCATTGGCAAAACATTCAGAGTCTCTGAATTGCCCACATTGAAGACATTTGCCAACTATCAAATTAAGACCGTTGAAGAAGTCGGTTGGTTATTGAAGGCCATTCAAGCCAACTATGAAAAGAAGAAGAACTAATAATACAAAATACGTTTAATTAAATAATTTTTTTTGGATAATAACAGTGTTTATTGTTCCACCTATTTATGGTGACAATTAAAAGAAATAATTTAATATTAAAAAAGAAAATACAAAAAAAATGTATAGGAATTGCTTTTATTATATTAATTAACAAAAACAAATAAATAAATTAAGTGGGGTAAATAAAACAATTATTTAAATATGTGTGCTTTTTTATTTATTTGTGTTATAAGTATTATTTTTAAGGAAAATATTGTAATTATATTTTTGCGTTAATATTTAGAAATTTTTTTTTGACCATTTTAAAGGAATTCAAGAAAATATTAAAAGTATTTGCAATATTTTTTACTACGTCCATTAAAAAATCTATAGTTTCGAAATGAAGTGCTCATTTTAACAAAAAAAATTCACAAAATCTAATACGAAATTCAATAAAAACATTTATCAGTAATTTCCAACTCAAAACAAAGTATGTATAACAGAAAATTTACATATATCAAATTTCCATCTCTGTTAGATTTGTCACATACATATGTTCAATAGTGTTGTCGCTACGCGTCTAGTTTTATAATTGTGTCTTGGCAACTCTGAGATAATAAACAAAACAAACAAGTGAGTTTGACAGCAGAAAATTTACAAGACAAATCATCAATTTTCAGCGGATTTTACCTTGTTTTTCCAATTTAAACACTTAATTAACCACAATGGATTCCAAATTAGATGTAAGTTTATTGTCAATAATATTATCTGAAGGAAAATTTGTAATAAAATTGCAATTTCTAATCATAGATGATGGAAGACTATTCCAATGCTAGTTTGGAAGGTGACATGTCTATTCCGGGTGCTGCACGCACAAATGCTCCCATAGGAGCTCCGGACTTTAATACTTTAGATGAACCTATAAAAGAGACTATTGTAAGTACTTGTTTTTTGACATTCATTTTCAATGATAAAAACAAATGAAACAATTCCTACAGCTTCGTGATATACGTGCGGTGGGTGTTAAATTTTATCATGTCTTATATCCCAAAGAAAAATCTAGTCTCTTGAAAGATTGTAAGTAATGCTGAAATATTTGTGTGTTGCACTGCATGTACCTAATATATTAAATAAAACATTTTTAGGGGATCTTTGGGGGCCTTTAGTGCTTTGCACCTTCATGGCCACCATTCTACAAGGTTCTGCTGATGCGCAATATGATGGTGGCCCTGAATTTGCTCAAGTGTTTGTGATAGTATGGATAGGTGCGGCCATTGTTACACTAAATTCTAAGCTTCTAGGAGGAAATATGTATGTAAAACTTTGTCAAATAGGAAATACCTATTTTAAAATTACTGATGTGGCCTCTTGCACAGTTCTTTCTTTCAGTCGGTTTGTGTTTTAGGTTATTGTCTAACACCCGTGGCTATTTCCTTAATAGTTTGCCGTATCATACTTTTGGCTAAACAAACTAAGTTGTTGTTCTTTTTGCGTCTTTTAACCACAACAATGGGTTTTTCTTGGGCCACTTATGGTAAGACAAAAATAAATTAACATTTTCTTAATAGAAAAATATATGAAAAAATTATTTATTTTATAGCTTCCTTCATCTTTCTGGGCAACAGTCAGCCTCCAAACCGTAAGCCTTTGGCGGTTTATCCCATATTTTTATTTTTCTTTATTATATCTTGGTTAGTGATATCAAACAATTAAATTTATTTATAATTTTGTTAATACATAATAGTTATTAATTAAATCCTAATTAAAAAGCAAGCAAAAATGTCAAAATAAATTATATGCATTTTGCCTAATTGCAAAAATAATCTTTTAAATAATTGTTTTTTTCTTAAATTCTTTTTGGAAATAAATCCATATAGTAATTAAAAATTTGCTCTTTAAATCAAAGCCTAAAATTATGCAGTGAGAAAAAGTAGCAAATTATGTGATAGAGTTGCCAATATTTATATTAAATCACAAGATTTGACATACGGCTGGTATGAAAAATCTAAATCTATAGGCCAGACTGAACTGTAGACTATGCTATTGACTAGATTATAGACTAGACTACAGACTATGCTTTAGACTAGACTACTTTAGTAAAGACTAGGCTATAGATTAGGCTAAAGACTAGACTATAGACTAATCTATAGTATATAGTTTTATAGTCTAGTAGACTAGGATATTGACTAGACTATAGTATACTATAGACTAGACTATAGTTTACTATGGACTGTTCCATAGTCAAGACTATAGACTGTTCTATAGTCATGACTATAGACTGTTCTATAGTCATGACCAAAGAATATAAAGAAATTGGGGCTTGTCAGTTGGTACGTAAAGGAGTTGTCATTCGGTACCTAACTCTAAGTATGTATTGGTAGAATTTTTGTATTAGTATTGGAGCTCCAAACACTTTCACCACACTTTCCAAACATACATACTTGCATAAAATCGTACATAAAAATTTTAGGAAAAATAAATAACATTTAAATTTCTACATTCGCAGATTTTTTAATTTATTTTGCCCACATCTAATCAGTAAACATTTAATAAATATATTTTTCGGACTTAAAATCTCTTTTTTTGCAAAAAAATAAGTTTATTTTAATTAATTTTTTCATTTTCAATACCAAAATATACAACTTTGTTTTGTCAATTTTAATTTCAACACACAAAAATTAATTGTCAAAAATATTAAAAAAATATTTTTTTAGTTTGTGAAAAATAAAAATATTTCGGATTGTTAAATGCGATAAAATTGTGTAAAAAATTAAAAAATAGTTATGTGTTTGTGAAAAAATGTCGTTCAAGTCCTATTATACCGGTATTTTCGCGAAAAAGTTTTGAAGTATTGTGAGAGAATTGAGTTCTCACAAGTGTGTTGAATTTACACAGAACTCGTCTGTGAAGAGAAGGAAATGTTATTGTTGTAAAACAATGTCATAGTCCAACTTCTTATTATTCTTTGGTCATGACTATAAACTGTGCTATAATCAAGACTATTCAATAGGCAAGACTTTAGAGTCTAATGTTTAGACTGTTCTATAGTCAAGACTATACATTTTCTATAGTTAAGACTATACCTTTTCTATAGTCAAGACTATAGACATTTCTATAGTCAAGACTGTTCTATAATCAAAACTATTAACTGTTCTATAGACAAAACTTAACACTGCTCTATAGTGAAGAATTTGAACTGTTTTATAGTCTAGTAGACAAGATATAGACTGTTCTATAGTCAAGACTATTAACAGTTCTATAGTCATGACAAAACACTGCTCTGTAGTCACGACTATAGTGAAGAATATGGACTGTTCTAATCCAATGTATGTACATTATAGTTTATTCTTTAGCGAAGACCATAGACTGTTTATAGCCAAATTTAAAAAATTAAATGAGTTACTTCAAAGTTACTTCAAATCACTCACCTTTTTCTTTTGTTTTGTTTTTCCGTTTGTATTCCCTTGCATACAAAAACAATATTTCTATTTTGCATCACATACATATGTATGTATGTACATACATATCCACCAATTATTTTTCTTAAACACCTTTTCTACTTTTCAAATTTTGTTTCAAATAAATTTTTTTCTTTCCAAACTCTCCCATTACCCCTTTGATTAACACTTTCTCATCACTTAACAAAACAAATGGCCCGACAAAAAAAAAAAACCGACCGGCCGGCGCTCGTCCTAACAAAATTTCATTGAACTTTTAGCAAATTTTAAAACTTTATTTTAAACTAATAATTTAACACTTTTTATAAACATGTTTCCTTAACGGTATTTATAAACAATTTTCAACAAAAATATTTAAATGTTAACAATTAATTAACGCTTTAGATTAATTTAAACAGGACTATTGACACTAAACAACCAAACACTTTTGATATTTTTAACAACTAAAGAAGAAGACAAATAACTAAAGCAACAAATGGTAATAGGAATTGTCATTGTTGTTGTTGTTATTATTATATGTACTCCATTTAAAGAGCAATATATTATAACAATAACAACAACTGCAACAAGTGATGGATGCTTTTTGTTATTGTTCCATTTCTTTAGTTTTCTTAATATTTCTATAGTGTACGGTTGTTTCGGGTTAATGTTACTGTTTTGATTAAGCTAAAACGTTAATTAATTGTTAATAATAAAATATTTTTTTTTGTATTATATTAAAAAAAAACTATAATTTATATCGATATATAAAAAAATTTATGCAAAAAGTTTTAAAAATTGTTAAAAAAATTAATAAAAATGTGCAATTTACAAATTTGTTAAAGCAATTGTTAGAAAGCGGTTATAGTTTCTTGGTTTCCAGCGCCATTCGTAAGCATCCAAACACCAAAGAGGGTATTGTTGAGAGGGAGTGTAAGAGGGGGTATATATTAGCAAATCATTAATATGTTGTTGTTTTACATTATTACAATATTTAAAGACGAAAGATGAAATTGTATGTAAGAAAAAAACATACATAATATTTATTGTGTTCCAACTGTCCAAAAAAGGAGTCAACTACAACAACAACAACAACAAAAGTAAAGGTAAGTAATCTATGTATAGTATGTATGTATGTATTTGTATACCAGGCATGGACTATAGACTAGACTAGACTATAGACTAGACTATATACTAGACTATAGACTAGACTATAGACTATAGACTAGACTATAGACTAGACTAGACTAGACTATAGACTAGACTATAGACTAGACTATAGACTAGACTATAGACTAGACTATAGACTAGACTGTAGACTAGACTAGACTAGACTATAGACTAGACTATAGACTAGACTATAGACTGGACTACAGACTAGACTATAGACTAGACTATAGACTAGACTATAGACTAGACTGTAGACTAGACTATAGACTAGACTATAGACTAGACTATAGACTAGACTATAGACTAGACTATAGACTAGACTATAGACTGGACTATAGACTAGACTATAGACTAGACTATAGACTAGACTATAGACTAGACTATAGACCTAGACTATAGACTAGACTATAGACTAGACTATAGACTAGACTATATACTAGAACTATAGACTAGACTATAGACTAGACTATAGACTAGACTATAGACTAGACTATAGACTAGACTATAGACTAGACTATAGACTAGACTATAGACTAGACTATAGACTAGACTATAGACTAGACTATAGACTAGACTATAGACTAGACTATAGACTAGACTATAGACTAGACTATAGACTAGACTATAGACCTAGACTATAGACTAGACTATAGACTAGACTTAGACTAGACTATAGACTAGACTATAGACTAGACTATAGACTAGACTATAGACTAGACTATAGACTAGACTATAGACTAGACTATAGACTAGACTATAGACTAGACTGTAGACTAGACTATAGACTAGACTATAGACTAGACTATAGACTAGACTATAGACTAGACTATAGACTAGACTATAGACTAGACTATAGACTAGACTATAGACTAGACTATAGACTAGACTATAGACTAGACTATAGACTAGACTATAGACTAGACTATAGACTAAATAGAATACTATAGACTAGACTATAGACTAGACTATAGACTAGACTATAGACTAGACTATAGACTAGACTATAGACTAGACTATAGACTAGACTATAGACTAGACTATAGACTAGACTATAGACTAGACTATAGACTAGACTATAGACTAGACTATAGACTAGACTATAGACTAGACTATAGACTAGACTATAGACTAGACTATAGACTAGACTATAGACTAGACTATAGACTAGACTATAGACTAGACTATAGACTAGACTATAGACTAGACTATAGACTAGACTATAGACTAGACTATAGACTAGACTATAGACTAGACTATAGACTAGACTATAGACTAGACTATAGACTAGACTATAGACTAGACTATAGACTAGACTATAGACTAGACTATAGACTAGACTATAGACTAGACTACTAGACTAGACTAGACTATAGACTAGACTATAGACTAGACTATAGACTAGACTATAGACTAGACTATAGACTAGACTATAGACTAGACTATAGACTAGACTATAGACTAGACTATAGACTAGACTATAGACTAGACTATAGACTAGACTATAGACTAGACTATAGACTAGACTATAGACTAGACTATAGACTAGACTATAGACTAGACTATAGACTAGACTATAGACTAGACTATAGACTAGACTATAGACTAGACTATAGACTAGACTATAGACTAGACCATAGACTAGACTATAGACTAGACTATAGACTGGACTATAGACTAGGCTATAGACTAGACTATAGACTAGACTATAGACTAGACTATAGACTAGGCTATAGGCTAGACTAGACCGGTCCTATAGGCTAGACTCGATTACACTATAGACTAGACTATAGTCTATGAAATACACCTAGGTCTCCAGGAGGCCTGTTGGGAGTTCCTTTATCAGTGTCTATTGTGGGAATAGAAGAAGACTAGATTACTAAATACTAACCTACCAGTGTAAGGTTAAAAACTCTCTAATATAATAAAGCTGTAAGTGTTTTTTAAATATCTGATATTAATACTATTCTCTAACAACTATAACAAGTTTTTCAATGGATTTACCAATTTAAATAATTCGTTATACACTAAACCAGATATGTATGTACATTCTGTACTTAACCTAACTTTTAAATAATAAATGCTAAATTAATGATATTCATCTGAAGCAGTCTATAGAATCATCATCAATATCTTGAATATAATTTGAATAATTTTTTTTCACATTTATTAAATAACTACAAATGCAGTGTGTTTTCCATTTTATTTATTTACTTATATTTATTTATATCAATTAATTTTATTAAAATTTTTTCTTGACACCCTACAAAATAAAACTTAGTTCTATTCTACAATAGGTGTCAAATGTTTTATGTTTTGAAGAAAATTAATATTGCCTAGGAAATATCAATTTGTACAAATTACAATTGAAGTGACAAAATAGTGACTTATAGGATACATTTGTGCTTTAAGTAGTTTTACATAAAGAATTTTGGTTTCAAATTTATTTCTTACAACTAGATTTATTATATAGTAAATAAAGTAGTACAATGTACATTGAAATTTTATTTACTCAAACACATTTGACCAATTCACAATCGAGGTCGTATCGTTGATCGACGATACAATACCGATTGTGAATTGTACAATTATTTTATGTCTTCACTACTACCGGTATATTGTATGTATATGATGAGTAGATTAAGGTACAAAATATTATATAAATGGAGGTTTATTCACTTCAAACATGTTCCACATCTAGGGTATTTGACTTCGACGACATTTCCAGCGACATTTGTGAACGTACACCATCACCGCGGGGATTGCGATAAGTTAATGAATTTGCTCTCGCTTTACGACCCATAAAATGACGTTCAACCCATTTAAGCATAGTATAAACAGAATCCGTTGAGGGTAAACGATGATCAGCAGCAGTTTTAACAATATCGGAGGAAGTGACACGGAAAGTTCGAGCCATACCTTTTAGGGCAACCATAGCATCTTCGTCTGTTAAATCGTCACCAACGTAGATGATTTTTATGCGCTCACTCCAGTCCACACCAAAAGATGTACGAAGTATATAAATAGAAGCACGACCTTTATTCCACTGCACAGGGGGACGTGCCTCTAAAGCACAATGAGCTTCGGTAGGCTTAAAACCATATTTTACCATAAGACTTCGGGCCTTTTCAATCATGGCGGGTCTGAGATTATTAGGAGTTTCACGATAATGGAATGTAAGCAGAGCGCCTTTATTCTCAACCCAAGCACCATCACGACAAACCTACAAAAGGTGAAAAAGAACCAGTTGGAACATTATAGTGGAGATTTGAAAATTGTCCACTATTTCTTGAAATAATACCTACCGTATCTTGTAGTCCCTTCAACAACAGACTAACTTTATCCTCAAATTCAATAGGCATTGGATGAACAAATTTACTACCATCGGGATGTAAAATTTCTAAACCATGGTTGCCGGCATATGTTATACCCTCTATGCCAACCATTTTTTTAACATTATCAACATTACGACCAGATATAATGGCAACATAAACATCCGAATGATTGGATAGTTTAAAGAGAACATTTTTAATCTCTGGCGATAAGGTAGCCAGATCGGGATGTGGAGCGATGGGTGCCAAAGTACCATCGTAATCTAACAGTAAAGCCAATTTGTGATTGTAGCCAATATATCTGTAAAAGAAAAACTGAAGTTACTAGAAATTCATAAGCTTTTAGTGCGCAAATATTTACTTCAATAAATAATCATCGAAATCATCTACAGTAACCGGCTGCATTGTAGTTGTACCCACATCATCCATTTCCAAAGTACCCATTGCCTTTAAAAAGCAACGCATCCAATTGTTAACATCACATTCGGCTTCACGTCGTCTCAGGCGGCTCATACGCAATACTCGTTCGTCTTCTGGCATTGTTAAAGCTCTGTGTATAACTTCGGCGGCTTCATGTACTTCGTAAGGATTGCTTAGTAAAGCTTCGTGCATCATTTCACCAGCTCCGGCAAACGGGGAAATGATTAAAACTCCCGGAACAGCATTCATTTGACAAGCTACAAATTCTTTGGCCACTAAATTCATGCCATCTCTTAGAGGCGTTACTAAACAAACAGCAGCATCACGATATAATGCAGCCAATTCATCTTGAGCCACATAATCATAAATATATCTTATGGGAGCCCAGTTAGCAGTTGTAAAACGTCCATTAATACGTCCCACCAATTGATCTACCTCTTCCTTTAATTCTCTGTACTCTTTAACATCTGTACGAGAAGGTACGGAAATTTGCAGTAAAGACACCTTTTCCTTATGTTGAGGATATTTCTCTAAAAGTACTTCGAAAGCCATGAGTCTATGCACTAAACCTTTAGTATAATCTAAACGATCTACTCCCAATATTGTTTTTTGATCACCAGTAGACTTTAAAACACTCGGGGCCTTTTGAGCCAAATTCACAAATCGCTCATAAGGAATACCAATAGGCAAAGGTCTTATCCTAACCGTACGACCGCCATGTTCCACCAGCAAATTATTACGATCAACACGACAACCCAAGTTACGCTGACAACAATCCACAAAATTCAAACAATAATCTTGTATATGGAAACCCACCAAATCACAACCCAACATACCCTGTAAAATTTCATCGGACCAAGGGAACAAACGGAAAATATCCCATGGTGGAAAGGGTATGTGTAGAAAGAAAGCCAAACGGCAGGGCAAATTCAATTCTTCGGCACGTTCTCTTACCCAATTGGCTGCCAACATCAAATGATAATCATGTATCCATACAATAGGTGGATTTTTTTCACTTCCATTATTATTGTTTAAACATTTCTGTAATGCTTCAATCGTACGAGCGGCAAAATGTTTATTAACAGTTATATAATCATTCCAATGATCAGCACCGAATGTTGCTCTTCCCGGCATGGAGTGGAATAAGGGCCAAAAAATCTTGTTGCAGCAGCCATTGTAATAGCTGTCAAATATTTTCGGATTTATATTCACCGAAACAACCTATAAAGGATGTAAATAGAAAAATTATTTAACAAAAAAAATATTAAAACTAATATAGCGCTTCTATAATACGAGAATAATGCTTGTAGACCCTCAAAATTATATATCTTTTGGGTCTTTATTAGATAATAAGATGATCATCTTAATATATTTTATTCCATAAGGTTAAGCATTGAAAATTGATAATATCGATCCACGTTTTCTTGTAACACCATATACATAAGTAAATGTCACAACGGAATCGATACGTAACTTCCTAAGTCCATAAATAAAGACACTTTTTACGATATAACGAATAAAACCTCATTAATTTTGAAAACAAAATTTACTCACCTGATCCGATTTAAGACCAGCTGTAGGAGTTTGATCAGTTGGATTTGATTCCGGTATAGGTTCATCGGGATTGCTTAAATGAATACCCGACCAACCAACCCATAAACCATTACCTCGTATAACTACTGGACAAACAGCTGTTACTAGACCACCAGCACTATAAAATAAAAAATATATAAAATTATAAATGTGTTAAGTAATCGGGGATTTTCTAAATATACACTATATTAGTGAAATGTGCGCAGAGTGTAACGGTAATATTTTTGGGAAAAGATGACGTAAATAGTGATAATTCTTGAATTAAAATTTGCTCATATTATGCTAGTTCCTGACTAGAACTAGAACTGAACTGAACCTGACTATACTGAACTAGAACTGAACTAGAACTGAACTAGAACTGAACTAGAACTGACTAGAACTGACTAGAACGAACTCAACTGAACTAGAACTGAACTAGAACTGACCTATAACTGACTAGAACTGAACTAGAACTGACTAAACTGAACTAACTGAACTAGAACTGAACTGAACTAACTAGAACTAAACTAGAACTGAACTAGAACTGAAATGAACTACTAAACTAGACTGACTAGAACTGAACTGAACTAGAACTGAACTAGAACTGAACTAGAGCTGACCTAGAACTGAACTAGAACTGAACTAGTAAATGAAGTAGAACTGAACTAGAACTGAACTAGAACTAGAACTAGACTGAACTAGAAATGATCTAGAACTGAACTCGAAACTGATTATAGAACTGAACTAGAACTGAACTAGAACTGAACTAGAACTGAACTAGAACTGAACTAGAACTGAACTAGAATGAACTAGAACTGAAACTAGAACTGAACTAGAACTGAACTAGACACTGAACTAGAACTGAACTAGAACTGAACTAGAACTGAACTAGAAAACCTGAACTAGAACTTGAACTAGAACTGAACTAGAACCTGAACTAGAACTGACTAGAAACGGAACTAGAACTGAACTAGAACTGAACTAGAACTGAAATCAGAACTGAAACTAGAACTGAACTAGAACTGAACTTGAACTGAACTAGAAAATGAACTAGAACTGAGAACTGAACTAGAAACTGAACTAGAACTGAAACTAGAAACTGAACTAGAACTGACTAGAACTGAACTAGAACTGAACTAGAACTGAACTAGAACTGAACTAGAACTGAACTAGAACTGAACTAGAACTGAACTAGAACTGAACTAGAACTGAACTAGAATGAACTAGATCTGAACTAGAACTGAACTAGAACTGAACTAGAACTGATCTAGAACTGAACTAGAACTGAACTAGAACTGAACTAGAACTGACTAGAACTGAACTAGAACTGAAATAAACTGAAATAGAACTGAACTAGAACTTAACTAGAACTGAACTAAAGACTGAACTAGAACTGAACTAGAACTGAACTAGAACTGAACTAGAACTGAACTAGAACTGAACTAGAACTGAACTAGAACTGAACTAGAACTGAACTAGAACTGAACTAGAACTGAACTAGAACTGAACTAGAACTGAACTAGAACTAGAACTAGAACTGAACTAGAACTGACTAGAACTGAACTAGAACTGAACTAGAACTGAACTAGAACTGAACTAGAACTGAACTAGAACTGAACTAGAACTGAACTAGAACTGAACTAGAACTGAACTAGAACTGAACTAGAACTGAACTAGAACTGAACTAGAACTAGAACTGAACTAGAACTGAACTAGAACTGAACTAGAACTGAACTAGAACTGAACTAGAACTGAACTAGAACTGAACTAGAACTGAACTAGAACTGAACTAGAACTGAACTAGAACTTAACTAGAACTGAACTAGAACTGAACTAGAACTGAACTAGAACTGAACTAGAACTAGAACTGAACTAGAACTGAACTAGAACTGAACTAGAACTGAACTAGAACTGAACTAGAACTGAACTAGAACTGAACTAGAACTGAACTAGAACTGAACTAGAACTGAACTAGAACTGAACTAGAACTGAACTAGAACTGAACTAGAACTGAACTAGAACTGAACTAGAACTGAACTAGAACTGAACTAGAACTGAACTAGAACTAGAACTGAACTAGAACTGAACTAGAACTGAACTAGAACTGAACTAGAACTGAACTAGAACTGAACTAGAACTGAACTAGAACTGAACTAGAACTGAACTAGAACTGAACTAGAACTAGAACTGAACTAGAACTGAACTAGAACTGAACTAGAACTGAACTAGAACTGAACTAGAACTGAACTAGAACTGAACTAGAACTGAACTAGAACTGAACTAGAACTGAACTAGAACTTAACTAGAACTGAACTAGAACTGAACTAGAACTGAACTAGAACTGAACTAGAACTAGAACTGAACTAGAACTGAACTAGAACTGAACTAGAACTGAACTAGAACTGAACTAGAACTGAACTAGAACTGAACTAGAACTGAACTAGAACTGAACTAGAACTGAACTAGAACTGAACTAGAACTGAACTAGAACTGAACTAGAACTGAACTAGAACTGAACTAGAACTGAACTAGAACTGAACTAGAACTGAACTAGAACTGAACTAAACTGAACTAGAACTGAACTAGAACTGAACTAGAACTGAACTAGAACTGAACTAGAACTGAACTAGAACTAGAACTGAACTAGAACTGAACTAGAACTGAACTAGAACTGAACTAGAACTGAACTAGAACTGAACTAGAACTGAACTAGAACTGAACTAGAACTGAACTAGAACTGAACTAGAACTGAACTAGAACTGAACTAGAACTGAACTAGAACTGAACTAGAACTGAACTAGAACTGAACTAGAACTGAACTAGAACTGAACTAGAACTGAACTAGAACTGAACTAGAACTGAACTAGAACTGAACTAGAACTGAACTAGAACTGAACTAGAACTGAACTAGAACTGAACTAGAACTGAACTAGAACTGAACTAGAACTGAACTAGAACTGAACTAGACCTGAATTAGAACTGAACTAGAACTGAGCTAGAACTGAACTAGAACTGAACTAGAACTGAACTAGAACTGAACTAGAACTGAACTAGAACTGAACTAGAACTGAACTAGAACTGAACTAGAACTGAACAACTGAACTAGAACTGAACTAACTGAACTAGAACTGAACTAGATCTGAACTAGAACTAATTTAGAACTGAACTGAACTACAACTAATAAGACCAAGAATAAGACCAATATCTAAGGTAATTGGTTTGGTATTAAAAAACATTCAAAAAGTACCAGACCACTTTTATATAAATATTTTCCTCAATGAGGACGCATCGTGTTTAATTCTACGTTTCTTAGGTAGGTTAGTGGTTAGTGTTTTAGTCTGGTAGACCGGAGGTGGTGGGTTCGATTGCCACCTGATGCACTGGTTAAGGAGCGAACAACAGGCCCAATAGAGTCCTATCTGCTCTGAAATATTTATATATATTTTTAACAAGTTCATTGGAGAAGTTAGGTCTTGAAAATAAGTTTTTAATAAACGAGAATAATTTATAGACACGAGTACATTATAAACGAGTTTTACTGTTATAACAAAAATGTTATGTAAGCTGACGAATGTCTCACTCATATTTAAAGCTTATTTATAAATCATATAAGTTTATTGCCTCCTTAAAATAAATGTCAAAATTAATAGGAATATTTATTTACACAATTCTCATATCTCGGCAATAGATTTTTAATATGCATGTACGGTAAACAACTTTGTAAACTTTTACTTTTTTCAAAACAACAACAAATATTTCTGTTCGCTATCAATCGTTTAGGTCAAACGAAAGTCGTAGCTAAACTTGAAGAAAATGTTTATTTAAAAAAAAAGAATTTAGTCCTTAAATATTAGGGGCTAAATTCCGGCGTAGGCGATCGAGTAAAATTTAACGTAAATTACCACTTTTGAGATGATTTTAAGATTGTACAAGAAAATAGAGATAACTATGACATTCGTTGTAACCCTTTGGAATTTAGAATTCATTACCTAATATTGATCATGGAAAGTAATAAATATTAATGATGCCTGCATACAAATTATAGAAAAAATAAACTAGAAATAAATCTACGTAGGTATACAAATATTTTAAATTAATTAAAATTCACTAAGAATCAACTTTGATAAGAATTACAAATGAGATTTTAAATCGTCATTACCGTTTATAAGTAAATGTCTCTCATACATTCTTAATTTTTCTTATATATATGTGAAAAATAAAGAAAATATTATTATTTTTTTTTTTACGAGGACAAAATGACAATGGACCCAATGTCAGTGACATTTACAATCTAATAGGAATACATGTAAAATTACATATAACGATTATAAATTTAACCCGCTTAAACCGGTTAAACTCTTAAATTCTAGCATACCTTGCTTTACGTTCCAATTTTCCGGTTATCGGGTTTCTTACCAATATGAATGGTAAACGATTTGATACCACGATAAGACTAGCTTTTGTTGTTGGCTCTGAGCTATTGGTAATAATTATTTCAGTATCGGCCATTTTTTTTATAAAATATTTATTTATTTTTTTCCTAAAACACTAATAGCACTTTGTCTTATGACTTATATATCTATTGGTTCACTCTTATAAAACTCAGTTAAAAGTTCATGATATTGCTATGAATAACTGTCAATAGCTTTTAATCCTTTTTTAAAATTTTTAATATTAACACCTTTAACACTTTAACGTTAGTTTTTTTTTACCGTCTTACAAGTTCTACAATATATGTAAATGCGGATCAGTCAGTATTCGATCGCAACCAAAAGCGTTCTGAATGAAAATGGCAGTGGGCAAGTAACCTAGTGTAGTGCCAAAACGGCAGCTTATTATCGCTCATTACGGTCGGCTGCAGTTTAATGCATCGATCATTAACGTATACGTTTTTTGTTGTCTTATCAGTTAAAAACTAAAGCTCAAACAGATGAGAAAAACAATAGGATCACAAGTAATCCAACCACTCAGCGGGGTATTTGCAGAAACTAAACTCTTATCTTTTTCTTGTAATAAAACAAATCATAATTTGTTTTGCACAAATAAATAAACAAAAAATATTTGAAAAATTTTAAATTTTTTTAAAATTTCCTTTCTTCTCTAGCTGCACTTGCTTGCACAAAAATATCAGTTGGTTTATACTTAATATACATTATTTGTTTAAACATTATATTACTTTTACAATTATCATTTGTTGTATAATTAAAATTTCAAATTTTCAAAACAAATTTAAACACATTAAATTCATAATGAAACTTGAAAGACTTCCACATAGGTTAAGTTTAATTGTAAGGATCAACTGATTCGTCACTGCTACTTGTTTGTACAGACATGTACAATACAGTTTGTTGCTAATGATAACTCATTTTAATATTATTATTTTTTTTTTCTTTACAACGTGAATTTTAAGTTCAATGTTCTATCGATCAAAACAATGTATTCCGAAAAAAAAATGAGGCAGACAAATCTATAAATTCGTTTTAAACATCTGTGGTACTTGTTTCTATATATAAATCTTTCTTACCGGCATACCGTAAGAAAAAAAAAACATAAAAAATAATAATAAAAACATTCATGTTTCGGAATTTACCTCTTGCAAAATTGCATTTTATTTTGATGATGATGAGCTACATTTCTAGAACAATATATTTTGAAATTTGAAGACATTATGAATCACTGAACGAATTAACGTTACCATTATCTTAGCTTTCCGTATCGGAAATGAATTAAATGATATAAATGTAACAGTTATAGAGATATTCTCACGCGGACATACGCACACATATAAACCTACATTATTTGCTATAAAATTTGATAAATTAAAAATTCCAAATAAATTCGAATTATCTTTAAAAGTTATAGATGCAAGGACGAATTTTAATATAGTTCCTTTCAGTTCGTTATAACTATACTCTAGTGTGTATAATCAATATTGTTTTAGCCTTTTATAAACAACTTTTATAGAATAAAAAAAATTGTTATTTGACTTTCTACCATTAGATAACCTTTGTTTACATTTCTTGTTATCGAAAAGTCTTAAGGTGTTTGTAAAACTTAACCTTGTCATGACCGCAAATAAAAGTAGTTGGTTAGTTTTCTGTTATGGTTTTATAACACAATGCAAACGTAGAACTATCTCAATGTAAATAAAGTTGCAATGTGTACTACCCACCTTTAGATAGATAGATAGATAGATAGATAGATAGATAGATAGATAGATAGATAGATAGATAGATAGATAGATAGATAGATAGATAGAAAGATAGATAGATAGATAGATAGATAGATAGATAGATAGATAGATAGATAGATAGATAGATAGATAGATAGATAGATAGATAGATAGATAGATAGATAGATAGATAGATAGATAGATAGATAGATAGATAGATAGATAGATAGATAGATAGATAGATAGATAGATAGATAGATAGATAGATAGATAGATAGATAGATAGATAGATAGATAGATAGATAGATAGATAGATAGATAGATAGATAGATAGATAGATAGATAGATAGACTAGAACTAGAACTTGAACTAGAACTGAACTACACTAGAACTGAACTAGAACTGAACTAGAACTGAACTGAACTGACTAGAACTGAACTAGAACTGAACTAGAACTGAACTAGAACTGAACTAGAACTGAACTAGAACTGAACTAGAACTGAACTAGAACTGAACTAGAACTAAACTAGAACTGAACTAGAACTGAACTAGAACTGAACTAGAACTGAAACTAGAACTGAATTAGAACTGAACTAGAACTGAACTAGAACTGAACTAGAACTGAACTAGAACTGAACTAGAACTGAACTAGAACTGAACTAGAACTGAACTAGAACTGAACTAGAACTGAACTAGAGCTGAACTAGAACTGAACTAGAACTGAACTAGAACTGAACTAGAACTGAACTAGAACTGAACTAGAACTGAACTAGAACTGAACTAGAACTGAACTAGAACTGAACTAGAACTGAACTAGAACTGAACTAGAACTGAACTAGAACTGAACTAGAACTGAACTAGAACTGAACTAGAACTGAACTAGAACTGAACTAGAACTGAACTAGAACTGAACTAGAGCTGAACTAGAACTGAACTAGAACTGAACTAGAACTGAACTAGAACTGAACTAGAACTGAACTAGAACTGAACTAGAACTGAACTAGAACTGAACTAGAACTGAACTAGAACTGAACTGAACTAGAACTGAACTAGAACTGAACTAGAACTGAACTAGAACTGAACTAGAACTGAACTAGAACTGAACTAGAACTGAACTAGAACTGAACTAGAACTGAACTAGAACTGAACTAGAACTGAACTAGAACTGAACTAGAACTGAACTAGAACTCAACTAGAAGAACAACTGAACTAGAACTGAACTAGAACTGAACTAGAACTGAACTAGAACTGAACTAGAACTGAACTAGAACTGAACTAGAACTGAACTAGAACTGAACTAGAACTGAACTGAACTAGAACTGAACTGAATTAGAACTGAACTAGAACTGAACTAGAACTGAACTAGAACTGAACAAGAACTGAACAAGAACTGAACAAGAACTAGAACTGAACTAGAACTGAACTAGAACTGAACTAGAACTGAACTAGAACTAGAACTAGAACTGAACTAGAACTAGAACTAGAACTGAATTAGAACTAGAACTAGAACTGAATTAGAACTAGAACTGAACTAGAACTAAACAAAAAATCGACAATCTATCTATCTATCTATCTATCTATCTATCTATCTATCTATCTATCTATCTATCTATGTATCTATCTATCTATCTATCTATCTATCTATCTATCTATCTATCTATCTATCTATCTATCTATCTATCTATCTATCTATCTATCTATTTATCTAGCTGTTCCATAAAAGCTTTTAAAATTGTATTATTAATGTGTTATTTCAGCATGTCCTTCAAATAAAAATGTTTGACATTTTTACAATATTATTCGAACTTGTATAGGCCTTTGTAAGTTTAAACGATCAGCGAAAAGGCGAATTGTTATTATTTTCAATATAAATTAACACACACATATTTAATTGTTTTTTAGTTTTATAAAATTAATTTCTAAAAATAACACGCGCTTATCACGTTGCAGTTTTTATAACATTTCGTGATAGATACGTATGTATGTAAAGTTTTACATATAAACAAGTATATATGTATGTAAATTGAAAAAAAGCAGACATCCATCCCGTGCCTCAAGTACATAAACATTTCTTTATCACTTAATCACCAGTACGAAAATCTACCGATTACAAATGACAACAAAGCTTATTCTATACTGAGATTCCAGGGGCAAAATTCAAACAACTAACAAATAGTGCAGTTTTTTTGTTGTTTATTTTTTTGTTTATAAATTATAAAAGTTCTAATCCGTTATTTATTGTGCATCTTGAAAAAAAAAATATTTTTTATTGATTTCAAATTTCGCAGTAGAAATAACGTTTGGAAATTTATTTTAATTACATTTTAAATGTTATTTTAAAACACCTTTATAGATAGAGATGTAATATGTTTGTGTGTAGAGGACGCATGTTGTATATTTATTCAAAAATATTAAAATATATTTTTCAGTACATAATCATCGTTAAAAATATATTTGCTTAATTAATCGAAATTGTTTGAAAAAAACATATACATACATATATAACATTTTAGTTTCATCTAATTTAAAATAACTGATCCTGAGTGGATTCCGCGTCCCTTATCTACACGAAATGAAAAACTTTACATGACTGATTTAAACAGTTATTTTTATATATCGGTAGATCCTGATAGACAGAAATACATAAAATCTATTTAACATAACTGATCCTGATTGGAATCCACGCCCATTTTACACTTATCTTTGTATATCAGTTATACGAAAAACTTTAGATGACTGATTTAAACAGTTATGTTTATATATCGGTAGATTCTGATAGACAGAAACAGATAAAATCTATTTTTATATAGAATATGTATATAAATTTGGCTCCAGATCCTTAAAAATTCTTTAAATTGAGAAAATAATGAAAATCTATGATTACCAAAACCATAAAGAAGTTTCTTATGATAAACCTAAGTCGGGCTGTAGTTTTTTTTTTTTTTAAAATAGTGAAACTGCGATCACTTTGTAAGAAAAACCTCAAATCGGCTAAAAGGCATTCAGTTGAAACAAGTAAGAGTGTTATATTCGGCTATGCCGAATCTTATATACCCACCATCAAACCTCGTTTGACAAGAATGAAACTTACTTATGTCGAATTTCATCTATATAATCGTATTTTTTAGGCCAGTTATAAGCGTTAAAGTAATTTTCTGAAGGGGACCTTATATAGGGGGTAGGGTCAATTATGGGTCGATCCTAATATAATTTGGTAGACAGAATTTGGTTCGTATTAAATTTATTTGTGTCAAATTTCATCGCTACACTCGTATTTTTAAGCCATTAATGAGCGTTGCAGTCATTTTCTAAAGGGGACCTTATATGGGGGGTAGGGTCAATCATGGACCGATCCTCATAAAATTTTTTTAGATAGATTTTGACTCGTATGAAACTTACTTATGTCGAATTTCATCTATATACTAGTATTTTTAAGCCAGTAATGAGCGTTAAAGTCATTTTCTGAAGGGGACCTTATATGGGGGGTAGGGTCAATTATGGACCGATCCTCATAAAATTTTGCATAATGATTTTGGATCATAAGAAACTTACTTATGTCGAATTTCATCGCTATATTCGTATTTTTAAACAAGTTATGGCTGTTAAAGCTGCTTTTCGAGCTGCCACTTGTATGGGGGCTATCCGAAAACGTGGACCGATATTGCCCATTTCCAATACCAAACAAATCTTACCTATAAGAAATATTTATGTGAAATTTCAACCCTCTAGCTCTTTTCATTCGGACTCTATCGTGCTTTCAACAGACAGACAGACGAACGGACGGACGGGCAGACATGGCTAGATCGTCTTAGAATTTAATGAGGACCCAGAATATATATACTTTTGTGGGTCTATGATCAATATTTCGATGTGTTACAAACGGAATGACAAAATCAATATACCCCCCATAAAAATAGCTAAAATAAAGTGATCACGTATTTTAAAACAAAAACAGTTTTTATATGGAAAAAATACAAAAAAATTAGATTTTAAAAATATAAATCCTTAAGGTGGAAGTACACAACACGCGTAGAGGCGGGAACGCGTTTCACGCTTTTCAAACTTTTCGCGCTTTATAAGCGGCAAGTTACACACCACACGTCATTTTGATATCTCTTTTAATGTATTTTAAGACTATTACTGTTTTAAAAATCAAAATTTTAAGTTTTTGTATATTTTTTAATATTTTTCTTCCATTGTTGAAGAAATTTATTTCATTTTAGATTAAGCCCCCTTCACACGAGCACACAAGTAATATGATCTGTCAAAATTTTGTGTAGAAGAGAACGGATGGGATCGTCTAAACGCAATATGTAATGAAACCATCACACATTGAGAGAAAATACGGATGGAAAATTTGACAGTCGTATGGCTCTCTTCATTTTTTGAAATGATTAAAAAAACAAGCAAGTCGCATTAGATCAGGGATGTATTTTTACAAAAAAGTGAAACAGCTGTTCCATCTTACTTTGTTACTGTTTTATACCAATCGTGTAAACACAAAAAATATAAATCATACGACTTTTATTCTCTTTTTTGTCATACGGATGGAATTTCATTTTACTTTTTCATTAGACTTGTCGTACGTAAAGTGTGACCGTGTGAAGGGCCCTTTATTCTTATTCTACACAAAAGAAAATGCAACCCTGATCAGCTGCCGACGCGCCAAAAGTTGAAAGTTGCTGAACTTTTCGCAGCAGATGCGTTACAACGCTATGCGTAACTTCCCTATAAGAAATGAATGACCGAAACTAACACATACAAAATGATTTTACTAACACACATGCAACATTTTTTTTATAGAATTGTCGAAAAAAAAATTAATGGATAATTCCATCAACAATGACAGTCAAATGACCGGTAAAATGACCGTTACTGGACCCAATGTGTGGTATAGGGTTGAATTTGCATATGAAAGAATGAAACAACTACATTTTGATTAAAATGTATTAAAATTTATATTTTGATCAACAATGACAGCCAAATGACCGATCAAATGACTGTCACTGTGTTACAGAGTTGTATTTTTCGTCGTTACAAATTAATTGTTTCTGCGAAAGCCAAAGATCAAGAAGCGAAGAAATAAAAAAATTACAAAGTCTTTAAATTATTAAAAATAAAGAGAATTATTATAAACTAAATTTTAAAAAAGCTCAGGAAGTGGATCAGAAGATAAACAATTCGGAGTTTAATCAATCAATGGTAACATAAATATGTACTTATGATTTTTATATTTCGATATTTATGAATACTTATGTATTTCTTTACAGACAACATATTTCCACAAATTAATAGGAGCATCAGAGGACTTAAGATTCTGCGAGATATGTAAAATGGTGAAAAGACTGGTAATTTATGTATATGATTACTATATTAATAAAATTAACAATATATATATTAAAATATCAATAAATTGTGTTTTATTATAAATTGGTATAGCCGTCAGATTTGACGGATATATTCATCAAGTGTGATTAGTCAACAATGACCGATTAATGCATCATTTTTTTATTTGTTAACTGTGATGGATATATCCATCAAGCATGATTAGTCAATCATGACTAATATTTATATCATCCATGATTAGTAAACAACAAAAGAGTGAGCAGCTCAAATATATGTTTTAAAGTCGATAGAATTCATAAGTGCGAGGGTGATGCAACATCACATGTACACAAATGTTTCCATCACTTTTTACATATTGCCCTTAAGAAAGTGATGGGAGCTTTGTTCTACGCAATGATGGGTATATTCTCAGTAGTGACAGTCAATTGACCGGTCAAATGACTGTCACTGTTCTTATAGGGTTGTTAAATGAAATACACTATTTCAACTTTTTTTGACAGAAGCCTATAACGCGTTGCCCCGTACAACGCTTGTTGTGTACTTCCATCTTTAAGGTGGAAAACAGTAATAGTTTTAAAAAGCATTCAAAGAAAGATCAAAATGACGCGTGGTGTGTAACTACAGCTTATAAAGTGCGAAAAGTTTGAAAAGCGTAAAACGCGTTGCCGCCTCAACGCGCGCTGTGTAATTCCACCTTTATAAAACACAAAATTTTAAATTAATTCAGTTAAAAGTACATTCATATATGTCCGCCCATCCCTGTTAATAACTTATATCATTTGTGCTATCATTCCCAAGTGATTGTCAAACATCTGACATTCAAAGTAAAATGCAAGACAGATAGAAACTCTTGGAAAATACTGTCATAATAAAAAGACTGCTATTTATTTATTATTAACAATTTTTTTGTAACAAAAACACAATTTATATAAAATGAGCATTTGTAGTGTTAGAGGAATAAATTTGCAGTTTTGTCGAAGAGCATTTCTATTAGCCAATCGTAGGCTAACGCCGGCAACATTTCAAGAGGATGCAGGTGAGTAGATCACGGATACATGATTATGTATTGAGGTTATGTGAAGTTGTGTTAATTCATAATTAAATTTATGAAACAATTTATGAATTATACTTTATTTAATATTGCAGTTTTAAAACGTAGTGTACACAACAATTCGCCTAAAAAGGTAATTATAATGGTTTAAACTAAAGATGTTTTATTCCATGTAAACTTATGCATTTGCAATTTTAGGAAGAATGTCGTCCTAAAATTTCCTATAACAGTGAAGTATTGCGTGCTGCCAATTGTAATGTAAGTCGCAAAAATTTGGAAACACAAAAAGGAACAACAACTACCAGTAGTAGTGGAGAAAAGGTCACATCCTATGATCAAACAACTAATAAAGACAGTGGAGAAGGTGGTGATGGTGGTAAAACAAAAATCTTAATTGCCTTGGCAGCTGCCTTAGGCATTGGTGGTGTTGTAAGTATTAATTAAAGAATTTTTTATTGTTATGTTATTTTTTTAATTGGTTTTTCATTATTTGCTTTAGGTTTATTATCTTAGTAAAGGTGATGAAACACCTAAAGCCAAGAAAGAGGAGCCACAACCTATACCACAAACGAATCCAGCTAGTTCTCAAGATTTACCAAAGCATGTGCCATATTTGCTAATTGGTGGTGGAACTGCTGCGTTTTCAGCATTCCGTGCTATAAAATCAAATGATGCCAGAGCTAAAGTATTAATGGTAACAGACGAAAAACGTAAACCTTATATGCGACCACCCCTATCGAAGGAATTGTGGTATTCCGCCAAAGAAACACCGCTATCAGAAGACTACAGATTTAAACAATGGACCGGTGCCGAACGTAGTTTATACTTTGAGCCAGAGGAATTTTTCATTCATCCCTCCAAGTTAAATGAAAGCGAAAAAGGTGGTATTGCTGTGGCACATGGTTTTAGAGTCAAGAAAATTGATCCCGTTAAAAAAACAGCCACTTTAACTGATGGCTATGAAATTGGTTATGATGAATGTTTAATTGCCACCGGTTGTAGTCCTAAAATGCTGCCTGTCTTTGCCAGTGCTCCTCCTAGTGTGAAAGATAAAATCATGGTGTATCGTACCCCTGACGATTTCGAACGTCTTAAGAGTTATGTAGATGCTAAAAAGAAAGTTACAATTATTGGTAATGGTTTCTTGGGTAGTGAATTAGCCTGTACATTAGCCAACTATTCAAAGAATAATGAAGGACAAATTTATCAAGTATTTCCCGAAAATGGTAATATGTCAAAAGTATTGCCAGATTATCTAAGCAAATGGACAATGAAGAAAATGGAATCACAGGGTGTGTGCGTAGTACCAAATGCTAGTGTTAAGAGTGTGGCAAGAGATGATAACTCATTAAAATTAAACTTAAGTACAGGTGAAACAATTATGTCGGATGTGGTAAGTATAGAACAGCAAAAACTTAATCTTATAGCTTAAGAGACTACATATTTCTCCGAATTAGGTGGTTGTTTGCGTGGGTTGTGAAGCTAACACCGACTTGGCCGGTCTCTCGGGCTTAGAAGTTGATAAGAATCTTGGTGGCTTTGTGGTAAATGCTGAATTGGAAGCACGTCGTAATCTATTTGTAGCTGGTGATGCTTCTTGCTTCTATGATCCTCTACTAGGTAGAAGACGTGTTGAACATCATGATCATTCCGTTGTTTCTGGCCGCTTAGCAGGCGAGAATATGGTTGGCAAAAGTAAATGCTCGAAATTAATTAAGTTGCAAATTTAGATAAAAATTAAATTATTTATTTTTATTTAAAGAGAAACCATATAATCACCAGAGTATGTTTTGGTCTGATTTGGGACCAGAAATCGGTTATGAAGGCATTGGTTTAGTAGATTCATCACTGCCAACTGTAGGTGTTTTCTCTCTACCCTCCAAAACTACCGACAGGTCTGATAATCTTGCCGAAAATCAGAGTGAAGAAAACGAGAAAAAGGAACTAACAAAAGCAACTGCTAACAACGATATTCCAACACCCGATGCTGAGGCAACACCAAATTATGGCCGAGGTGTTGTTTTCTATTTAAGAGATGAAAAAGTCGTTGGCATTTTGCTGTGGAACATATTCAATCGCGTAGGACTGGCACGTACTATAATAAATCAGAACAAAAAATACGATGACCTAAACGAAGTCGCTAAACTATTTGAAATTCATTCGTAGATAAAAACGTAATTTTAATTTAACTCTAATTTGATTAGGTAAAAATGTTTATTTTTATTGTTATTTAAATGTCTAATTTGCAAAAAAAAAAAATCAAATTGTACCTTTGATTATAAAACAAATACACGTACACACACACATACCTTAAGGATTTGTTCCGTTTATACGATTTAACGCCACAACAGCTGCATTTAGTATTTCTCAAAATTCCAATAGCAAGGGATTAGCTTAAAACGCCGGCAAATTTTACTAGTTCTACTTAAAAATATGTTTAAATTCCTATTAAAAGTTTATGATCGTCTTTGCAAAACCTAAACTATAAAATGCAGGTAATTTCAAAGTTTCACAACTTGGATTCAGGTATATTTAAAATTTAGTATAAAATATTCTACTACTGCCATCACAAGCGTTAGTTTCTTAAGGAACTTCACTGAAAGACATACAGAATGGAAGTTAAGAATATTCAATATTATTTGTATGACGATGACGAAGCTAGCACAGCAGAAGCCATTATGTTGGAGGAGAATAACCTATTACAACACATAGAAGAGGCTGGTAAATTAAACAACACTCTATAAAAAAATGCCCAATAATATTTATAAAACCTATTTATTTATAGTTCAAGCCAATAAAGACGTTTACTCTGAAGATGAATTGAATGCTGCCGCTGCCATGATGTTAATGCATTATCAAGCTGTTGTTCATCCTCAAACAGTTACCACTTATAATTACGATGCACAAACTTGCCAACAGAAAGAAAAGCTACAAACCCCCAAATCTATGATGACCAAGGATCATAACAATCAGAATGTTCATATTGATACCATGGAACAGATTCGTCAATATCGTAAGTGTAATTACACTCAATCGTCTCTATTGGCCTCCTGTCGTAATATCTTGAAAGAATTTTTGGCTCAAAACGGTTTGTGATCAAACGGCGGTAACATGTTAAAAACATAATATTTTGCTTAAAGTATAAATTTGATAATAAAACCCTTTGAGGGTTAACTAGTATGTAGATAAGAATAATTAATAAATGGAATATGATTAAAATGCACCCAAAAAGAGAAACGTTGTCTCAAATTATGTATGTATGTGTTTTTATAGAATTTGATAGTGGCCTCCGGTATGGTAGTTGTTAGTTACTGAGTTATGACCTAAGGCACTGGTTAAAGAGCGCACAACAGGCGCGATAGAGGTCTAGGTGTATTTCTTCGGATTTTATTTATATACATCTTCCTTTCAAACTAACTTACTAACTATAGAATTGATAACATTTTCAAAAATGTTTACCTATTTTTTCGAATTGTTTTTCTCCAATTTTAGTTAATTAGGCAAAATATAGTTGAGTCTATTCTTTAGTTTATAGTTCTCATTGTAGTCTATCGTCTAGTCTACTTTAGTCTATAGTGCAGCCTATATTCTAGTCTATAGTCTAGTCTATAATCTAGTCTATAATATAGTCTAGTCTATAATCCAGTCTATAGTCTAGTCTAAAGTCCAGTCTATAGCCTAGTCTGTAGTCAAGTCTATAGTCTAGTTAATTGTCTAATCTATAGTTTACTCTACAGTCGAGTCTATAGTCTAGTTAATTGTCTAATCTATAGTCTAGTCTATAATCTAGTCAATAGTCTAGTCTATAGTCTAGTCTGTAGTATAGTCTAGTCTATAATATAGTCTACAGTCTAGTCTATAGTCTAGTCTATAGTCTAGTCTATAGTCTAGTCTATAGTCTAGTCTATAGTCTAGTCTATAATATAGTCTATAGTCTAGTCTAGTCTATAGTCTAGTCTATAGTCTAGTCTATAATCTAGTCTATAGTCTAGTCTATAGTCTAGTCTATAGTCTATTCTATAGTCTAGTCTATAGTCTATTCTATAGTCTAGTCTATAGTCGAGTCTATAGCCTAGTCTATAGTAAAGTCTATAGTCTAGTCTATAGCCTAGTTAATTGTCTAATCTATAGTCTACTCTATAGTCGAGACTATAGTCTAGTTAATTGTCTAATCTATAGTCTACTCTATAGTCGAGACTATAGCCTAGTCTATTGTCAAATCTATAGTCTATACTATAGACTCTATACTCTAGTTAATAGCCTATAGTCTTGTCTGTAGTCTAGTCTATAGTCTAGTATATAGTCTGGTATATAGTCTAGTATATAGTCTAGTCTATAGTCTAGTCTATAGTCTAGTCTATAGTCTAGTCTATAGTCTAGTCTATAGTCTAGTCTATAGTCTAGTCTATAGTCTAGTCTATAGTCTAGTGTATCGTCTAGTCTATAGTCTAGTCTATAGTCTAGTCTATAGTCTAGTCTATAGTCTAGTCTATAGTCTGTCTATAGTCTAGTCTAGTCTAGTCTATAGTCTAGTGTATAGTCTAGTCTATAGTCTAGTATATAGTCTAGTCTATAGTCTAGTCTATAGTCTAGTATATAGTCTAGTATATAGTCTATTATATAGTCTATTATATAGTCTAGTATATAGTCTAGTATATAGTCTAGTATATAGTCTAGTCTATAGTCTAGTCTATAGTCTAGTCTATAGTCTAGTCTATAGCCTAGTCTATAGTCTAGTCTATAGTCTAGTCTATAGTCTAGTCTATAGTCTAGTCTATAGTCTAGTCTAGTCTATAGTCTAGTCTATAGTCTAGAGTCTAGTCTATAGTCTAGTCTATAGTCTAGAGTCTAGTCTATAGTCTAGTCTATAGTCTAGTCTATAGTCTAGTCTATAGTCTAGTCTATAGTCTAGTCTATAGTCTAGTCTATAGTCTAGTCTATAATCTAGTCTATAGTCTAGTCTATAGTCTAGTCTATAGTCTATTCTATAGTCTAGTATATAGTCGAGTCTATAGCCTAGTCTATAGTAAAGTCTATAGTCTAGTCTATAGCCTAGTTAATTGTCTAATCTATAGTCTACTCTATAGTCGAGACTATAGTCTAGATAATTGTCTAATCTATAGTCTACTCTATAGTCGAGACTATAGCCTAGTCTATAGTCAAATCTATAGTCTATACTATAGACTCTATACTCTAGTTAATAGCCTATAGTCTTGTCTGTAGTCTAGTCTATAGTATAGTATATAGTCTGGTATATAGTCTAGTATATAGTCTAGTCTATAGTCTAGTCTATAGTCTAGTCTATAGTCTAGTCTATAGTCTAGTCTATAGTCTAGTCTATAGTCTAGTCTATAGTCTAGTCTATAGTCTAGTCTATAGTCTAGTGTATCGTCTAGTCTATAGTCTAGTCTATAGTCTAGTCTATAGTCTAGTCTATAGTCTAGTCTATAGTCTAGTCTATAGTCTAGTCTAGTCTAGTATATAGTCTAGTCTATAGTCTAGTCTATAGTCTAGTCTATAGTCTAGTATATAGTCTAGTCTATAGTCTAGTCTATAGTCTAGTATATAGTCTAGTATATAGTCTATTATATAGTCTAGTATATAGTCTAGTATATAGTCTAGTCTATAGTCTATAGTCTAGTCTATAGTCTAGTCTATAGTCTAGTCTATAGTCTAGTCTATAGTCTAGTCTATAGTCTAGTCTATAGTCTAGTCTATAGTCTAGTCTATAGTCTAGTCTATAGTCTAGTCTATAGTCTAGTCTATAGTCTAGTCTATAGTCTAGTCTATAGTCTAGTCTATAGTCTAGTCTATAGTCTAGTCTATAGTCTAGTCTATAGTCTAGTCTATAGTCTAGTCTATAGTCTAGTCTATAGTCTAGTCTATAGTCTAGTCTATAGTCTAGTCTATAGTCTAGTCTATAGTCTAGTCTATAGTCTAGTCTATAGTCTAGTCTATAGTCTAGTCTATAGTCTAGTCTATAGTCTAGTCTATAGTCTAGTCTATAGTCTAGTCTATAGTCTAGTCTATAGTCTAGTCTATAGTCTAGTCTATAGTCTAGTCTATAGTCTAGTCTATAGTCTAGTCTATAGTCTAGTCTATAGTCTAGTCTATAGTCTAGTCTATAGTCTAGTCTATAGTCTAGTCTACAGTCTAGTCTAAAGTCTAGTCTATAGTCTAGTCTGTAGTCTAGTCTATAGTCTGGTCTATAGTCTGGTCTATAGTCTAGTCAATAGTCTAGTCTATAGTCTGGTCTATAGTGTAGTCTATAGTCTAGTCTATTTTCTAGTCTATAGTCTAGTCTATAGTCTAGTCTATAGTCTAGTCTATAGCCTAGTCTATAGTCTAGCATATAGTCTAGTTTATACTCTTGTCTATAGTCTAGTATATAATCCAGTCTATACTCTAGTCTAGTCTATAGTCTAGTTTTTTCTAGTCTATAGTGTGGTCTATAGCCTGTTCTATAGTCTAGCCTATAGACTAGCCTATTGTCTATTCTATGGCAAAATTATCTTTCTAATTGTACCATTGTCTAGTGTATTCTATAGTCCAGTCTATAGTTTAGTTTATAGTCTAGTCTATCGTCTAGTTTATCTTCTATTCTATAGTCTAGTCTATGGTCTATTTTATATTCTAGTCTTTAGTCTAGTCTAACACAAAATTACCTTCCTAATTATACCATTGTCTAGTCTAAAGTACAATTTAGTCTATAGTCTAGTATGTATATACTGTAGGCTATAGTCTATCTAATAATAATAAACAAAAACTTCGAGAACCTAAACAAAGTCCTTAAGTCATTACACATCATTCGCGAATAAGAATTTACATACTTAAGTTAAATTTAACTATAAGTAGGAAAAACTAATAGATTTCTTGACATAACAGCTGCATATTATTTTCTTCAAAATTCCAATTGTAAGGGATTAGTTTAATACATTGGAAAATCTAATTGTTTCTACTAAAAACCTTTAAATTATGTATTAAATTTTATGATCACATATGCGAAATATAATTAGCATATGCAGGTAAATTTTAAAGTTTGCGACACTTTTAAATGCAGGTACATTTCAAATTTACTATAAAAATTCGAATCCTTGCAACAAAATCGTTAGTTACTTGCCTAAACTCACAGCGTTAAATACACAACATGGAAGTGAAAAATATTCAATATTATTTATATAACGACAATGCAGCCACTACAGCAGAGGCGGTAATGGTAGAGGAAAATAGACTCCTTAAACAGCTAGAAGAAGCTGGTAAGTTTTATAATAATCCCGATTTTCAAACTATAAACATATAATAACGTTGAAATTTCTTTTAGTTTCTGCCAGCAAAGATCAACACTCTGAAGAGGAAATAAACGCAGCCGTTGCCATGATGTTAATGCATTATCAAGCTGTAACCGAACCCGAATTGACACCAAAAAATAATTTCATTACACAAGTCCCGCAACAAAAGGAAAAACATGTGAAACCAAATGTAACCATTACAAAAGAAAATTCCACACAAAATGCCAATCTAGATACGATTGAACAACATATTCGCCAAAATCGTAAAAGTAGTTATAGTAAATCTTCGCTATTGGCTGCGTGTCGTAATATTTTGAAAGAATTCTTATCTCAAAATAGTTTCTGATCGTTAACGAGACGATACGTTTTAAAAACATTTAACATTTTTTGCTTAAAGTATAATTTGTTAATAAAAATACTCTTTGAGGGTTGCTAGTAAGTATGTAAATTAGAATAGTTAAAAAAATTAAAAGAAAAAATAAATAAAAAAAATCGCACATTAATTTCATTCTGTGTTTTCTTTGCTTAGTATTAAAGCTTCAAAAGATTTAATTATTTTTCAAATTGAAGCTTCAAAAAGATTTAATTATTTTTCAAATTGAAATCTATTTATCAATTCCGGTAACACATTTCCACGTTCAAAATGAAAATAGATAGATAGATAGATAGTTAGATAGTTAGATAGATAGATAGATAGATAGATAGATAGATAGATAGATAGATAGATAGATAGATAGATAGATAGATAGATAGATAGATAGATAGATAGATAGATAGATAGATAGATAGATAGATAGATAGATAGATAGATAGATAGATAGATAGATAGATAGATAGATAGATAGATAGATAGATAGATAGATAGATAGATAGATAGATAGATAGATAGATAGATAGATAGATAGATAGATAGATAGATAGATAGATAGATAGATAGATAGATAGATAGATAGATAGATAGATAGATAGATAGATAGATAGATAGATAGATAGATAGATATATAGATAGACAGATAGATAGATAGATAGATAGATAGATAGATAGATAGATAGATAGATAGATAGATAGATAGATAGATAGATAGATAGATAGATAGATAGATAGATAGATAGATAGATAGATAGATAGATAGATAGATAGATAGATAGATAGATAGATGATAGACAGATATATAGATAGATAGATAGATAGATAGATAGATAGATAGATAGATAGATAGATAGATAGATAGATAGATAGATAGATAGATAGATAGATAGATAGATAGATAGATAGATAGACAGATAGATAGATAGATAGGTAGATAGATAGATAGATAGATAGATAGATAGATAGATAGATAGATAGATAGATAGATAGATAGATAGATAGATAGATAGATAGATAGATAGATAGATAGATAGATAGATAGATAGATAGATAGATAGATAGATAGATGATAGATAGCTAGATGATAGATAGCTAGATGATAGATAGATGATAGACAGATAGACAGATAGATAGATAGATAGATAGATAGATAGATAGATAGATAGATAGATAGATAGATAGATAGATAGATAGATAGATAGATAGATAGATAGATAGATAGAGAGATAGATAGATAGATAGATAGATAGATAGATAGATAGATAGATAGATAGATAGATAGATAGATAGATAGATAGATAGATAGATAGATAGATAGATAGATAGATAGATAGATAGATAGATAGATAGAGATAGATAGATAGATAGATAGACAGACAGACAGACAGACAGACAGATAGATAGATAGATAGATAAATAGATAGATAGATAGATAGATAGATAGATAGATAGATAGATAGATAGATAGATAGATAGATAGATAGATAGATAGATAGATAGATAGATAGATAGATAAATAGATAGATAGATAGATAGATAGATAGATAGATAGATAGATAGATAGATAGATAACATGTAAATGAAACCTATAAGGTACAAAACGTACTATTCTACAATATTGAACCTAGAAACTGAAAATTAAATACACAACATACAGATTGAATGAAAATCGTTAAAAGGGGATTTTCTGGTACTTTTGTTCTTTAGCTGACTTATTGATTTTCCTGCAATACTGAACCTAGAAACATAAAACAGATAGAATATCTAAGAGTGAAGACTTTCTTATACTTTTTCGTCATTCAAATGGTATTTCTTGATTTTTGCAATATTGAACCTATTGGTTTTTAAGATTTAACTCTTTGGTACTTGATGGTTCTTCAACAGGTGTCAGTGCTTTTTGTATATATAAAGCAGTTGTAAAAGGTTTGATATCAGTGAACTATTTTTGTTGTTTTTGTAATGGTTTTTCTCTATGTATACTAAAGTTAAATTTAACAAAAAAAAAGTAAAACTCATTAACACTTTCAGTATTTTTCGACTACTTACTTCATAATGTATTCTTTATTAAACCTTTGTAACTTGTTGATTGTTTTTTGTTTTTTTTTTTAATAATACATATTATGAGTTATTAAAATTAAAGCAAACATTTCGAAAGAAAAAGATTTTTTTGTTGTTTTTTTTTTTTTAAGTCTTGTGTAAATTGTAAATAGATGAATTTCTATTGTATATGAAAGTATGTTGTAAATATAAATATTTTTATCTTATTTGTTGGTTTTTTCATTTTTTTTTCATTTATTATTTTAAGATTATTTAAGACTAAGTGTAAAAATTGTTGTTGTATTAATAAAAATATACATTATAGATTATGATATATATATAAAGATTTGTTTTTAAACTAATTGTTGTTTTGTTTTTGTTTGTAAGATATTTACACATTTAATTGCTATTTCTAGGGGTTGTTGTTGTAAGTTATTAAAAATTTTATAAACAAAAGATGTTGAAAAAAAATACATATTTAATTTTTTTTTATATATATTTTTGTGGTAATATAAATACATTTAAGTAATTAAGTTTTATTATAAAAAAATTATATATTTATAAGTAAAGAAATTAAAGCAATATTTTGTATATTTAATATTATTATTTTTGTTTTTTTTTTAACTAAACTTATTATTAATATAAAAAGAAATTTATATTAATTTGTGTTTTTTTTTTTATTTTTATTAAATTTTATTTTTGTATATAAAGAACGAATGTTCTGTGGAAGCCAAGGGGGATTATTAGATTAACAATATAAAAAAAAAACTTGAAACAATAAATTATATTTATAACTTTAAATTAACAAAATATCTTTAATATGCCAAAGCTAAGCTTAGCTACAAACTGTTATATGAATTGGAAGAGAATTGGCCGAAAAAAAGAGAATATGTTAAGGCAAACTATAAACAACAAAAAAAAAAACTCTTTTACAAATATTAAGCTTAATAAAACATTACATGTTTTATTTAATAAACATTTAAAAGCTTTATTAAAATATAGAGAAAAGTTGTGTTAATTAATTTGCCAATATAACCTTTTTAAGGCCAAAAAGGAAAAAAAATAAATTGTGTTCAATTTAAAAAAAAATATTATAATTTATTTAAATATATTTTTTTAAAAGATATTCATTTGTATTTTAAATATTATTATTTTTTTTGTTGCTGTAGCTAGTTGTATACACTTAGGTTAATTTTTCAATTTTATTTAAATTTTTTGCTATCACATTCGTTTGCAATTATTTAATTTTTTTTAAGGTAAATAAATTTTTAAAAAAATTTTAAATTTGTTAAAGCTGTTAAATAAAACAAAAAAAAAAAAGCTTTTCTTTTAACTAATAAATATGAGTTGTTACTTGTATGTATGTGTGTGTGTGTGTGTGGGTTCTTTTGTTATTTATAAAATGAACTCTTGTTAAACCATTTATAAGAGTTTTGCTATAAGGAAAACAATGTTTAAATATTAAAATAATAAAAAAACAAAGTTATAAAAAGTTATATATTATTTAGAATGGGCTGTGCTAAGAAAAAATAATTGTTTTAACTTAAATACTATATATTTTTATAATTTCCTTTATATTTTCAAACTACACCATGATTCTACCGGTGTGTTAAGCAGTTGATAAACTACTAATTGTGTGTGTGTGTTTTTTCAATGAATTTAAATGTTAAATGTTATAAAAAAAAATTGGCACATTTCTTAATTAACTAACAAACTTAAATATTTGTAAAAATAAAACGTTTAGATTTAAAACCTCATTTTAAAAAACAATACCATTTGTAATTTACAAAAAAATAAATTACCATTAAGCTAAGTTAGACAAATTGTTAGATTGTTTTATATTAGATAGAAGCAGCTTTCTTTCTTTCTTTTCGTTTCTTTTTTTTAATAATAATAATGAGGTACTAAATTATGCAACTCTTATTTGTTCTTTACAAAAAAACAAACAAAAAACAAACAAAAAAACATAACAACTAACTAATATAAACAAGTTTAGTTGTGTATGTTTTTGTTATTTAGTTGACACATGTAGCGTTTGTTTATAAACAAAGAAAAAAATTATTATTGTAAAAGTTTACATGTGTATTTTACATATGATTGTCTTGTCCTAAAGTAACTCCAAATAATGTAATTTACTTTCTTAAATCGGTTGCTCCCATGTTGTCGTGTGAAGGGCTGGCATCCATTTCACTTGATTCACTATCCATGGGTGTGGGTGTATTGCATTTTTGTTGTGTTGAATTTTCATTAGTTTCATTAAGCAGGGCAGCTTGATTAGTTTCGTTATCATTATAACGTATCAGTTTAATGGTGGTAAGGCCATCAGCATTACGTATCAATCTTTAATAAGGCAAAAAAAAAAAAATATAAAATAAATAAAAAGTTCTTTATTTAAATACCATATAAACTTACGGAAAACAATCATCATTAGCTGAAGGACTGGAATAAGGTCTTTTTTCACTATTGCCATTACTACCCGTAACACTCAAGTCTGTGGGTTTCATTTCTTCGGCATTGTTATTGTTTTGCGGCGATGTTTGTTGATTTTGTTCTGGTTTGACCACATTAAATTGGAATTTCTCATTTGGCGTTGTGGGTAAAGCTGCAGGTGAATTTGGTGGTACACCATTGGAAGACAGGTAATGGAAGGCACCGTTTATAGCGTGCATAAATAAGGGCGAAGAAGGCGGTGGACCATAGGCAGCCGCTGCAGCAGCGGCTACAGCAGCTGCAGCCGAAGATATACCATTGGGCAAAGTTAAATGATTACTATTATTGCCCTGTGTTGATGTAGGACGTTGGGGTGTTTGTTGCTGCTGCTGTTGTTGCTGTTGTTGTTGGGCTGAATGTTGTACCGGCATTGCCCAATTTGTACCATTTGTAGACGGTGATGTTGTTTGTAGACCACCAGCTGACGAACTTTGATTGCCAGCAAGATTATTGCTATTGTTGTTGTTGTTGTTTGTATTATTGGCATTATTGCCATTCTGATTGACCGATTGTCTTAGTAAGGAAATATTCTTGATATTTTTCAATTCTGTTGGATTGCGCAAGAATTGATAACAGTGACGTTCGCCCTGTACCTTACGTAATATATTCACTCTATAATAATAACGTAGAGCACGTGACATTTTATCATAGTTCATGGATAAATGATTCTTTTGTATGCCCCACAATTTGGCCAGCCCAGCAGGATCAACAATTTTGAAAACACCAGTATCACGACATTTCCAGGCAATTAAATCGCTATACTTTTGATTGCGATCATTTAGCAGTTGTTGTAGAAAATCCCATAATAAACGGCCATCTGTGAAAAGAATTGCGAAAAACGTTTGAAATTAGAATTAGACTAAAACTTTTCGGATCTATTGTCTAGTCTACAAAATAACTTATTGACTAGTCTATGGACTAGGATATTGACTAGACTATAGACTAGTCCATAGAATAATCTATTGACTAGCCTATAGACTAGTCTATGGAATAGTCCATTAACAAAACTATGTACGAGTCTTTTGATTAGTTCAGTGACTAGACTATGGGCTACTCTAATGACTGGTCTATTGACTAGTCTATAGATTAGTTTATTGACTAATCTATGTACTAGTATATTGACTAGTCAATTGTACCGTCTATGGACTTACTTATTCCCAGGTCTTTTAATAGATTATGACTTGATTTCTTGACTAGTCTATTGATCAGTCTTTTGCCTACCCTATTGGCTAGCCTATAGACTAGGCCTAGGTTTTTTACATATTAAAAGTACGGTAAAAGGATACTGCTTTATTTTTCAATATCAAAAAGTACTAAAAACATTTCAATAGTACTAAATTTTCCATCTCTGAAACATAATGTGTGTGATGAATTTTGAAAAACAAAGACAAAAAAAGTAACACTCGCTGTTAAGGAGAGCTTTAAAAGCTTGATGTACAAAACTTAAATTAAAAACCGATCAAAAAGTCACAACTTACTTGTATTGGGTTCAGTGTTTTCCGGAAAGAATTCACGTTTTACTGGTTGCATATAACGATTGTCAGTTTTATCGGGAAAGAATTCCCTTTTAACAGGTTGCACATAACTGGGTGTTGTAGGTGCTGACACCGAACCACTCTGTGGTAATTTCTGTTCCAAAGCCAATTGCTGCTGTTGATGTTGCTGCTGCTGCTGTTGTTGTTGTTGTTGAGACCATGAATTAACAAAAGTATTTTTAATTTGTTGCTTAAGACTTTGCGGCATGTCTTTTAGAATAGGGGTTGTAGGCGGACTGTTATTATATTGAGCTACAGCCGAGGCAGCAGGATAATTAGAATAATTAACAATTGTGCTATTAGCATTGGGTGGCTCTGAATAACTTTCCTCCTCGGAATCAGAATGGTGGCCACTGGCGTTATTAGTGTTATTTTTTAAACCACTAAATGAATTGGGTGTGGATAAACCCAGAGCGGCCGCAGCAGCTGCATTTGAAGAAGAACTGGTAGTACTGCTAGAACTGCTACTGCTGCTACTACTGCTATTGCTGGTCGATTGTGTGGCAGAACCATTCTGTTGATCCTGATTTTGAGGCGGGCTACTGGCTTGTGAATCTACTGAAGGCGGGGGACTTAATGTCACCGAATTCGGTGTCATAAAATGATGTGGAGTTAGATGAGAGGTTTGATGAAAGGCACTTTCTGGCGGCCCTATAGGGGGCCAAGTAGGTGTGGGTGGATGACTGTGCGGCGACAGGGGATAGCGACTAGTGGGTGTCACAGGGCTATTGGGTAAATGCCACTGCATCATATGTGATTCAATCACTAACATTTGCAGTACATTATGTAGAACATCGCCGGCACCGGGGCAACGATGACCAAAATCGGCACGTGTGAGCAGGCACAGGGCTTTGCCATTCATTTGAAAGAGATCATAATCAACTTTTGGCAGGTCAAATTCACGCTCACAGAAATGCAAAAATACCGCCACATCTTCACGACTCCAAAGGCGAGGATCTGAGGGTAAAGACGGCGGCAGCTGGGTCTTTAGCTCGGCCAATTGACTAGGCGGTGCTGGTGGACAACGCCATAACATATCACTCCAAAGACCCAAAGGCGGATTCAACGATAATTGTACCGGAAGCATTTTCATTTTGAATTTATTTGAACAAATTTAAAAATAACTATTTCCTTCTTGCTGCAGAACGGAGGACCACATCTATAAGACAATCACAAATCACGTTATAGCTGTAAGTGTAAAAAAAAGGGGAAAAACGAAAATTTTAATTAGTATAGTGTACAAAAAAAGAGTAGTTAGTAAGATATTAATAAACTTAGATATATTTAGTATATGGAAATGTATGGATTTTTATTATTGTTGTTTATTGCAATGGATATGTATGTGTATCCATAGCTATCTTCTTGCCAATGTTTATGTTAAAGTTACTTCCGTTTAAAAGAAAAATACAAATTTATTTCTGTTAGAATATGAATATCATCCATTCCAAGCATTTTATCTAAATCTGTACATTAGGGTGACCACATTGGTAAAGAGAAAATTTAAGTTACAGATGTTCTTACTTTACTAAAAATGTTTGTAATGGGGTCAACATTTGGATAGTAGTATCAAAAGTTTGAATTTTTTTTGGATTTTTTCATATGAACAGAAATGATAATTTCTATTTTGGCATCACCCTAATGTAGATTCTATAGACATTCAAGCGAATTGCTGCTGCTGTGTTGTATATACACTGAGCTAGTTGTAGGAAATTATACCGATAAAACGGAATAAAAAAAAAAAAAAAAAAACAAAATAAATAAACAATCACATCCGCCGCATTCCAGTTTTGGTTGCCAACAAATAAATATAAAAAAATATAACTAAATTCACCAAAAAAAAAAAAAAAAAAAAAACAAGTAAGAGTGTTATATTCGGCTATGCCGAATCTTATATACCCACCATCAAACCTCGTTTGACTCGAAAGAAACTTACTTATGTCGAATTTCATCTATATACTCGTATATTTAGGCCAGTTATGAGCGTTAAAGTAATTTTCTGAAGGGGATCTTATATAGGGGGGTAGGGTCAATTATGGGTCGATCCTCATAAAATTTGGTAGACAGAATTTGGTTCGTATTAAATTTACTTGTGTCGAATTTCATCGCTACACTCGTATTTTTAAACCATTAATGAGCGTTGCAGTAATTTTCTGAAGGAGACCTTATATGGGGGGTAGGGTCAATCATGGACCGATCCTCATAACATTTTTTAGATAGATTTTGACTCGTATGAAACTTACTTATGTCAAATTTCATCTATATACTAGTATTTTTAAGCCAGTAATGAGCGTTAAAGTCATTTTCTGAAGGGGACCTTATATGGGGGGTAGGGTCAATTATGGACCGATCCTCATAACTTTTTACATAGTGATTTTGGATCATAAGAAACTTACTTATGTCGAATTTCATCGCTATATACGTATTTTTAAACAAGTTATGGCTGTTAAAGCTGCTTTTCGAGGGGCCACTTGTATGGGGGCTATCCGAAAATGTGGACCGATATTGCCCATTTCCAATACCAAACAAACCTTACCTATAACAAATATTTATGTGAAATTTCAACCCTCTAGCTCTTTCCATTCGGACTCTATCGTGCTTTCAACAGACAGACAGACAGACAGACAGACAGACAGACGGACGGACGGACAGACATGGCTAGATCGTCTTAGAATTTAATGAGGACCCAGAATATATATACTTTTGTGGGTCTATGATCAATATTTCGATGTGTTACAAACGGAATGACAAAATCAATATACCCCCCATCTTTTTTGATGGTGGGTATAAAAACACAAAATATAAATCCACACAACCCACACGATATTTGGTAGAAATTGAAATATAAGAATAAAAATGAATAATCAAATATTTACATGAAAAACTATAGCAAAACGATTTCACTCAAATGCACACATTTGTTTTTTTTTTTTTGTAAATTTAGTTATAATTTTAATTATTTAAATTATTTTACACTATTTTTTTTTAATATTTATAAATAATTATTTGTTTAATATTATTTATTTAATAAAATAGTTTTTATTTACGTTCGGTTAAACACGCGCAAACGGAAGAACTAAAAGCGACACAGAGAACACATTATATCCGTAAAAATAAAAAAAAATGAGGTAAAAAAGTATTGAGAATCTTAAGTAAGTAATGATATTAATGATGAAGCAGCAGCAATGATGACGCTGATGTTGCTCTTTAAACGTTTAAATTCTTATTGAAAACACACTTGAACTCAATACACGGGTGTAGCACAGACTCAACGATCTCAGAATTCAATATAAAATCGAAGTGATGGTGTGGTGTGGTGCTGCTGCTGATGGTGGTGGAGGAGAACATTGATTCATGCTACAGCAACAACAACAACAACAACAACATCATCAGCCACAGAAGAAGAAGGAAAAAAAACATGAAAAGGCATTTCAAAAAGAAAAATCTGTTTGTTGGCTGGCTGGCTGGCTGTCAGTGTAGTGTTCAGTGCTCTGCCCTAATATCCCATAAACAATACACACATCTCATACCCTACAGCTAAACAAATCATCAAATGTCTCAAATGGTCTGGGATCGGTATGGAGTTATAGGTATATATGTATACATACATAAATACTTGTCTGTATGTATGTATGTTTGTATTTAAATACATGTGTTTAGAGAGTTTTACTGGTTTCTTTGTGCCTCTTCTTTAGAAAACAACATATTTCTTTTATTTTTTTTTTGATTTTTTTCAACTTGTGACTACCTGCGTGTTGTTATGTTTATGGTGTTTATGATCATGTTGCTGGCTGATCATGATGATGATGTTAATGAGGCTGTTCGTTATAATGATGCTGATCATGATGTGCGCCTAGACGTTAAACGGAAGTGTGCGCATTCCTTTCAAAAAATATCATTAAATGTTTACTATATAAATATACATACATACATACATACATATAACATATGATGCTGTGATCATGCAACAAAGATGAAGAAGAGTAAGAAAGTAAAGAAAAAAACGTTAAATCGATCGTATTATGCATGCATACCATTATCAAAAGCCGATGTTTAATATAGCAGGGCAATAAAACTTGTTTTTTTTTTCTCTCCAGCAAACACTTTAGTTATCATTATTGATCGAGTAAAAATATCAAGATATTTAATATCAGATAAATAGAGACCCTATTTTGTTTGATTTGGCTTTAATATTGTAAAATCCGAATTGATCAGACATATTTTTCAAGATCAATTTGAATGGATAGACCAAAATATCTTATTCTAAAGTATTGAGCTGCACTGAACCCTAATCACATTAAGCTTTCGAGATATCATGTTCCAGAAGTTTGATAGATCGCGTTTAGATAATTAATATCAGATAAACAGAGACCCTTTTTTTGTTGGATTTGGCTTTAATATTGTAAAATCCGAATTGATCAGACATATTTTTGAAGATCAATTTGAATGGATAGACCAAAATATCTTATTCTTAAGTATTGAGCTGCACTGAACCCTAATCACATTAAGCTTTCGAGATATCATGTCTCAGAAGTTTGATAGATCGCGTTTAGATAATTAATATCAGATAAACAGAGGCCCTTTTTATGTTGGATTTGGCTTTAATATTGTAAAATCCGAATTGATCAGACATATTTTTCAAGATCAATTTGAATGGATAGACCAAAATATCTTATTCTAAAGTATTGAGTTGCATACCATGTTCCAGAAGTTTGAAAGATCACGTTTAGGCCCTATTTGAGAAGTTGTAATAGAACGATTAGATCATTATAAAATCAGTTAAGCCATGTGAAAGTCCAACCGGACGACTTTGAAATAAAGATTTAACTTCTGTTAGATGTTCCTTATTTCTCCAGATACCTTAATCTAAAGTTCAAAACCCCCACAAATAGATAAAAACTAAATCTTTTAGAGCGGGGTTTTTGAGATGGTAATCAAATGCCAATCAGATTAGTTAATCTAAAAATAAATTTAATCTTTGATGTTTTTGAGTACAAGATTAAACTTCGCAGTGTTGCCATACAAAACAACAGAAAACTTCACTGTTTGTTATCAAAACAATGCATATTTTTTAAAAAAGAAGAAGACAATTGTAAATTTAATATGAAAATTAATGAAAACTTAAATTAAAAACAAAAAAATGTATTTTGAAGTGTCCATAATTTATACTAATCAATAAATAGAACATTTTAATGTTTATATTTATAAAAATTTTATTAATTTTTTTGCATCAGCTGTTTACACTTTTGCATTTCGTGCTTAAGATTAAACCACCTCCATTGGGCGCTTAAACTTGCAAACAAAATTAACTAATTTAGTACTCAAAAACATCTTTCGAGGATTAATTTTAATTTAATCGCTAATCTTTCACCTAAAAATTGGCCCTTACTAATTTTCGCCTTAATTTTACAACAAACTTAAACTTTTAAATAACTCCAGTACTATAAGGATTGAATATTTTTACATTTCAAAACTCTTTAGAGAAAATTGCTTAAAAATTACATTTAAACGATTTTCATCTCAAAAATATTTTCTAAATTCTTAAAAGAGATTGATCAGCTGGGTTATAATAATGTTTAAGAAAGCAGGTAAAACTATTATTCTCTTCTTTACAATTAATGTTAAAAAAGAGAGTAAAAAAAGCAAATCAATAGAGAGTGTTCAAATAAAAAACAAACTCTTATAGAAATTTTGAAAACAAATACTTATTTCTCTTTTCACACACTTTTTAATACACACAAAAATAGGAAATTGTAACACAATTATCAATAATAACTCATCGAAATTCTTTATAAAAAGAAAACAGGTAAAAACATTATAAAATAGTTAAAAAAAACCATTATTAAAACTAGAACAATGTTAAAGGATCTAACTAAGAACAGTGGGCGAATTGGCGACTTTATTTAAACAATTGATTAGTTCCGTTATTTGATTTTCAATAAACAAAAACAAAAAATTTCCTTTACTCCCTAGTTCCATAAATACCATATATAAAGAATAAACAAATTGCTTTCAGTATAGTTATCGTGCTATTTGTTAATTTTGTGATTCCATCAACAAATGTACTGTCGTCATCAAGTTGAAGTTTTTTTTTAAACAAATTCTCTAAAAAAAATAAATTTCTAATCTTGCTATAAACATATGTTTATTAGAGAGGTTCAAGTAGGTATCTGTCTGAAATCTTAAAGATA